CCTGATTTGGACCACCATGTAGGCAGTAATGCCACATCAGCTAACATGAACTGACTCAGTGAGTGACTTAATCCCTGCAATAAAATAATTGATGAGCTCATACAAATCTAATCTTTCAGAAATTGAGATTAGCAGTCTTTAATTAAACACCTTTATCTAATTTATAGAGCTTAACTGACTGACTACAAAAACTCAGATTCCACCCTCTAAACTATCAAAATAGATTATGTTTTCAAAATGTCTAAATATCACAATGACATGTTTGATAGGTTTCCAATGGAGACCTCACATACAGATACAATATTTTTTTTTCACTGTTTTCAAAATTCCTGAAATCATTTGATTGAATTTTAGTTATAGCTACTCAACTTGACTGGAGTTGTGTGAGAATTAGAAAAGTGCAGAGACATGTGTAAGTCTCCTTATTCACATTTGTCCATGTTTGTGTTATCTGAGCAGTTTCACAAGAATATCTAAACTTCACCCACTGTATCTGACTGGCATATAGGTTTTCTGCCTAGCTATTTGGTACTCTAGGAATTTATACTGTGAATTCAAAAACTGCACTGAATTGATTTTGCTTTCTGTACCCTGACAATATATCTTGGATTTTGCCCTCCCTGAACCTCAGTCTATGGTAACAGTGCAAAGTCACAAGAGGACACAGCAAAATGGTGGAATCTGGGCCTCAGTGCTATATATAACAATTAGATCAGGCGTCTTGTAAAACTGGAGAATAAAACTGTCTTGAGAAAATTGAATTGGGCAGAGGAAATATCTGCAAGTGCACCATAGCAATCTGAAGCCTTGTTGAACATGTGCAAACCAAATAAATCTTTCATCAGGTATGACCGCAAAACATTGTAATTACAGAGAGCATCTTAAGCCCTAAAACCACTAACTCATTTCACATTTGCTCATCTATACTTTTGTGAAGTTATAATTTAAGGATTTATTTAGTTTGAATGTATCATTTTTGAGAAAGCCTGATGTCTGATGTAGTTTTGGCTGAGTAAAGTGCTATTTCTATGACAAATTGTTGGTCTGCCCACGTACAAATTTCCAGTCTTGCCTAGGGTTGATTTTAGGTCAGAGCTACAGATATTTGAACTGCTTTGAAGGCGCCATGTTGAAAGAGAATCATATTGTCTGCTGGATTGTGAAGTAAACTCCAAGCGCCGCCGGACAAAATAAGAATGATGTCACCAAAGAGGGTAACGCGAGTCTCTCATAAGTTTTTTGATAATAGGTGATGGCAGTGTGAGAGTGTCTGGGAGGGAGACAATGAAGACAGCCTACACAATATGTCCTCCCACTCAGAGACAGCAAGCTCTGGTCCTGCATCGATCACTCCATCACTTAAATGGGGCTTGTGGGTCCAAATTGCATTACTGTGAGCTGCAGCATACAGGGGAAAGCAGCCTCGTCCGTCAGAGTATCTAAGCTTGGGCCGTAACACACTTCGTCTCTATGAGTGTCAAGGCAGAACAATGCTGGTAGATTTCTGAGACAGGTAGGGCCAAAGGATCAACTTTTGCCATTTTACCTAGCATTTAGAGTATTATTTTTTGTCTCTGTATCTCTCTCTCTGTCTCTCTCTCTTTCTCTGTCTTCTTACAATAAAAAAGAAAACTGTAACATTTAATAGCATGTGGTTGCTACACAACAACCTCACAAAGTTGTTTACCTACATAATCTATAGGATCTTTTTGTAAATAAGATTACAGACTACGAAACTATTCAAAGCTCAAATTGTGGTGTTGGACAGTCATATTTAGATTGTAAACAATTAAGTGTGTAAAGTGTAATTTTAGTTGCAAAGTAAGCACCTTTAAATTTACGCCAAGCTATATTTTTCATTATTATTATTGTTATGATTTCAGTTACCTAAATGCCAAAAGACTTGCTATACTGGTGTAATGTACTTGTTGTTGTTTTTGTTTTGAACACAAATAGTCTGTGCATTAGACCAACTTTACCAAGATTTTGAATATTTCCAACTATAAATAAGTGCTTTTATCTGTTTCATTCATGAAAGATGAATACTAAATATTTATGTTTCATGCATCAATGTAAATGAAAAGGAGCAGAAAGAAGTATAGACCTGTAATATCTGCCCCCTTTTCACACAAGGTAAAACCCTTCTCACAGTTCCAACTACATTTATAAGCAACTTATTTACGTGACATACACAATATTGAATACTTGTTAATGAACACAAAAGGACAGTTCATACTTCATACATTTTTAGCATATAATGTTTGACATTTCTTTTAAACACTTGAATAGATTTTGAAGCTTTGAGTTTTTCTTTCAGACTGTTTCATAAGCTGACACCTTTGACTGAAACACATTTTTTCTTTCTTTTTTTTTTTTAAGATTTCAATTCCTTTCAAATTATAATGACTCTTTGTTAATTTTCTTTGGAGATTGGTGGGCAAGATTTGCTGATTTGCTTTATACATAACTTTTAAAGTTCTACCAATTCATTGAATTTCAGTATCTTTAATTGTATAAATATTGGGTTTGTAAAGTCTTTGTATCCACTTCTGCTGATGATTCTTACAGCTCTTTTCTGTAAAAGGAAAATTGCATCAACAAAGTTTTACAAGCACTTCCCCATACTTCAGTACAATAGGTCAAATATAGAACAATCAATGAATTATACAACACATACAATGCACACATATTTAATGACTCTTTTATCTTATGTAACACAGTTATTACTTGTGATCATAAAAATTTGACATAATGTATATGGGTTTTCCTTGTCAGATGTTCATTTATCATAACACCCAAAAATCTGAACTCATGTGCGCTCTCTGTTTCTTCATCTTCTGTAAATAATGTGGCCTTGACACTTTTTTCCTACTACTGTTATTTTATTTTATTTTTTTTAAATTCCCTCTCTACAACCTCTAGAACATTCTTCATGTTTTGTCCTGAGTACAACAGAGTGGTGTCATCTGCAAATAAAATACACTTTAATAATGAAGACACTGATGTAATATCGTTAATATAAATTAGAAAAAGTTAAGACCCAAGGATCGAACCTTGTGGCACCACCAATTTTACACACATCTGAATAATATGACAAACTTGAAGAGACATTGGACAGTACCGTTTTTGGGGAGGGGTGTGTGAATTGTGCGGTTGGTGTACTGTGGGGGCAGCTGGTGTTGGCGGGGCATGAAAGGGGCCCCTCTCCTGCTGCATGTGCCAAGTGGTGTCAGTCTGTCACTGTTTTTACTGTAGCTTGTGGCTATATGACCAAAAGACATTACCCCTGCCATATGTTGCCTTTTTATCATCAAACGCCATGCTTTTTCATTTGATTACACGTTACAAATTTGAGATGTCCTTATTTTTCATCCCTTGTCGTTTTAAGATGGTAACTACACCTGCAGGATGTATCAAAAACTTGCTGCCTTTCAATTTGAATTTTGGGAGATGGCAATGATTTCCTATAAACAATAAAATACAGTATCTTGTCCGATTATGAATAAAACCAACTACCATGTTATGTAGAGACCTCTTTAAATATGCTTGAAATGCATGGGACTAGTATTTAGCAGATCATATTCCAGTCTTCTCTCAAATGTTAATCCTCCTCGATGTGTTTGATATGTTAACTTTCAGAATCCTATGATAAAAACAATCACAAATCCAAATACAGTGCTTGCTCACAATTAAATTCCATATTTATGCAACCCCACTGATAGCTATTGTAATCTGCCTCATGGTCCTTCAGGCTACCTACATTTGTAATTTGATATAAAGGCATAATGCAGGCTGCCTTAAACCACCTTCTCCCATTTCCCTGCTCCATACATACAGTCAGTCATCTTGTCTGTGGTGAGGACTGAGTCTCTGAGGTAGACGCCGAGGAATGCACAGCTGTTTCAAAGTCTGACTGCAGCAACAACACGTTTAGACGACTAGAAACAGACAAACAAATGCATTCACTGTCACCCATCATTACGCTCTCAACTCATATTTAGATAGCCTCACCACATTTTTTTCTTTTTCTGACTAAATGTGCGATTGGTTAGCCACTTAGAGAAAAAATATTGGCCTATAACATTTCAGACATACCAGATTGTCCAGTTTAGACTGAAGTTGTATTCAACCTGACATAAATGTGGAAAAATTTGATCTGGGTTAAAATGTATGAGTTATTAGTAATTTATAGCCACCAGATGATGAGACTTTTTGAATATTGTGTCTATGTCCAATTTATGGAAGAATTTAAATGTACATTATATACACATTATACTATTACGCTTACAAATTTTCCTATAAAACTAAACACAGCTAACACACGGCCACATAGAGGAACAGTATTATATTAGACCTTTGTGTATAAAATGGTTGTGGTGTAAATAATCATAAATAATCATGAATAAATGTAAAAATCTACCTGCTGTTTCTTATAGTTTCATATTTATATGAATAACAATAGTTAAGAAATAATTGTTACCTCCGCCAAGGAGGTTATGTTTTTGCTGGCGTTTGTCTGTTTTGTTTGTTTGTTTGTTTGTTAGCAACATAACTCAAAAAGTTATGGACCGATTTTGATGAAATTTTCAGGATTTGTTGAAAATGTGAAAACGAAGAACTGTTTTCATTTTGGGGGTGATCCGGAAGAAATCCTGGATTCTGGATCACTTTGAAATTTTAGTTAACATTGTGGTAAATGGGGCCAAAAATTTTGTTTCTCAATATCTCGGTTAATTATTGACCAAACCCCATGAAATTTGACTCAGGGATGGACAATGGGATCCTCTTTCATATTCCAAAGGCTGATCCGGATCTGATCCAGAAGACTGATTTTATCGCAATTTATATAAAAAATGGGGGTAGTCCTTGGCGGAGGTCTGCGCTCTCTGACTGCTTTTCTAGTTTTATATCTTTTTACTTTTCCTGTTTGTGTTTACTGCTAAATCATGAAGGATTGTATATGTCCTTGTTTATCTTTCAGATCTGACCTGACTGTAATCATGAGTGGTGGAGTGAACCTCAAAGTGATCTCCCAGAGCCAAAGTGACACAGGTGTCAGGTCCACTCAGCCTTTACCCCACAGCACCCCACCTCAGACTACAATGGATCCAGGACAACAGTACAGAAGCCTCCTGCACGCACCGGTACAGCCTCCTTACACATCTGCTAGACGCTCTTCTTACTCACAAGCCTCTTCTTCCTCTGCCCACTCCGAGCAGCTGAAAGGTGGTGCTATTAAGAGCCATATCCTACAGTTAAAGAGTAGCATGTACGCTCACAGAAGCCCAGCAGGAACTGCAAGGACCGATGGCACGTGTTCGGCCTACAGCAGTCCTCAAATACCAAAGAGAGAAACCACACGATCTAAAGACACCCTTGACCTCCGCACCAGCACCCTGACACACAGAGCTCTGCAAGATCTTCAGTTCAGGCGAAATGTGAACAAAAACTGGACTTTTGGTAAATATCGAACGAGAACTGCCACAGAGGAGAGTGACCCCCTGTTTAATGTCCAGGCAGGCCACGCTGCAGGACGTCTGCTCGGTTCTAAAGGCTCCAATGGTAATGAGGTGCCCAAAGTGCCACAGGTGACAATGGACAACATCAGGAAAGAAGTGAAGAATAACTCCTACCAGGACTTGAAGTCTGTAGAGCCAGAGGGTTCCAGTGATAAAGGAAGGGCCTCTTATCCCACTTTTAACACAGCCAGACGAGCAAGTGAGCCAGGAAAAATCAACATGGCCGCTGTGGCTCCATTCCGGTTCAGGCGAGTGCTATTATTTTTCAATATACACCCATTTGTAAATACATTTTATGTAATAGTTGACTCAAGATTCTTGTTTATTACCATTTTAAAAATCTAAATATGGCCTAAGAGAGAGATGAGATATTTGCATAATTTAGTGTATTGGCCATCCGCCTTAAATCTCCACCAGAGGCCAATGTTTGGTTTGTGCTCACCAACTGCCTATGATCAGCACAAATATGTGTAAAGCTCATTTGAACATTTTAGTCCAAAAGGGGAATTGCACAAAATGTGACTACACTACTCTCTTATCCAGTTTGGAGTGAAACAGGGTTTGTTATACATTATTTTCCCCAAAGTGTATAACTTTAATCAAAACTTTTCTGGATTCTAAACAATTGTTATTTGGATCAGTCATGAAAAAACCCATATTGGTCAATCGCTTGTCTAAATAGGGCCCTTTATGTGATTATGTATATTATATGATATTGTACGACGTGGTTACTAGTACTAAATGTATTTTAATTACATCTAGGTTTCAAGTGCAAGAGGAGATAGGCGCCTCTCTGGATGATCTGAGTGACTGCTCCTCTGACTCTATGGAGGTGTGCTGTGATGATCTTGGTGAGTCTTTTTTTTTTAAAACTTTGTTTTGTTACACTTGTTCGCTATGGACCAATGGGCGAACATTCAGTTGGTTAAGTCATGAAAACTGATGTTTTATCTATATGTTTTTTGGTCTGTGGACAATAACACAAAAAGTTGCTGTACTGCACTGAGCTCAACAAGACTAAGTGATACGGTTACAGAACTCCACAGTTTCCCAGTTATATTCTGTTGCACTCTCTCCTTTGCCAAACTTAAGTCAATATTCAGTTCAGTTGAGCAGTCCAGTTGTTCTCACTGAATCTGTGGCCAAGTCTCAACAAAAACACTGTGGTGTATGGAGCACCTGTTAGGCACATCAGGAACTCCTTCACTTCATTCTCCATCCACATGTGGGAAAAGAAGATTCTTGGCACGGAAGGACATGTCTCGTGAGGACAAGTACTTAGATACTGCTCTGTCGTAAGGGTTTTTTAGCCTCTATTGCCAAAAAGAGCATTTAGTAAACAGTTAATAGATTAAACAAGCACAATAACATCTATTCAGACTTCTACTCTCACTGAAACATGAGTATGAATATCGCAATTAAGCTTTGCCACTTTGTTTATTAGGCATAAATTTGATGCTGAAAGAAAAGACCTGGCTAACTGGACTTTACACCAGGAGAGTCCCTGCATCTAGTTCAAGCATCTCAGGGTCTTGTTCACGAGTGAGAGGAGGATGGAGCAAGCAAACGTTTGCCTGATGAAGGCCTAGTGCTGAAACATTGCCCTGTTTGTCCTAATAAATCTCACATTTTGCAAGACGGTGTGCAGGACTTGTCTCTGTATTCTTGGGCTGCTCCCTCGCCTCAAACACACCCATCTGAAGTAATTGATGTGTGAAATTCCCATTTTTGAACATTCTTGACATAGAAGCCTTCAGCCAGTATATTTGTGCCTTTATCACTCAAAAAAAAATAAATTTTTTAAAAGGTACTATAGAAATAATTGTTTGACTAGTCGTCTAATAAAAACTTATCAGTCTAAAATATTGAAAATGATCATTAGTTGTAGCCCTTGTGTTGTCATAGCCACTTGTAAAAGCTTGATCTTGTCAAATATCAGAAGCTAAGCAAGACTGGGCCTGGGTACTACTTGGATGGGAGACTATTGGGAATACCAGGTGCCACAGTGGGGCACCAGTGCAAAAACTGTTGTTGTGTCCTTAGACAAAGCACTTCACCCACATTGCCTAGTAAGAAAGTGGTGTGAGCTTGAATGATTATGGTGGTTTGAAGGGCGCAGACTGGCAGCCTCACTTCCATCAGTCTGTCACAGAGCACCTGTGGCTACAATATTATCTTACCACCACTGAGTGTGGAGTGAATGAATAATGCTCTATATGTAAAGAACTTTACTTGTCTGTAAAGGCGCTTTATAAATGCAATGATGATTTATTAATTAATATACATACATCAATGCATCTATTAAGTAATTTCTGATAACAAATCACTTTTATTACTTTTTATCACTCAGCATAGCCAAGTCCAGATGTAATTGCATTGTGCTATTCTATAAGGCTTTAAGTGGCTCCTTAATTATCTTGATGACTGTGTGAGAAGCACTTTGCTGTGGACTCCCTGGGGAGAAAGGAGACTGAGTACTGCTCTGCTGATGGTGGACAGATGCGGAGCTCAGAGATTCGTGGTTTGAGGGTAGGATCGCCTTTCACGTCTGTCTGGGAGTTCCTAACACACACCAAAGGGGTACTCCAGCTCACGATGTGTCTTTGTACGTTGTCATCTACTCCTAAATACAAGCTGGCAAAAAGATAGAATGTCCAACTTTTCTTTTACAGTGGCTTTATTTTGTGGGAACAGCTGCAGCACGCAAAAACCTGTTCAGGGAAATATAAGACATTGGTTAAAATACAACACAGATTTTGAACTGTTAAATCTGTCTCTGTGTATTTTGCTATTGCTGAGTCAGCTCTTAGTGGATAGACTGTTGCTCATTGCACAAAGGAGTTCTGTGGTTGTCAAAGCTCTCACTGAGGGGTTGGAGGTGATTCATAAACTTACCTCCAACAAAGAAACTTAATTGTCCACATCTGTTATTGGTTAGTTTGTGTATATCTTAAATTATTCTTGTGAGCTTTAAACTGTTCTATAATATTGTTACCTTCTCAAAAACATACCCAAAGTTTTGTATTGTTTCATTCACATATTTGATCCTCTATTATTAGTCTTTCTCTGTCTCCAAAGCTCAAAATGCTTTATCCCATCTTGTGACACCATGAAGTGGTAGTTAACAGCTACCTTTTACCTTTAGTTCAGTAGAGATTTACAATTCCAAGTGCTTACCTACTCTGCTTTAAAAGGAATCCCAAGCAGAAAAAAGTCTGTTAGTTTTTCACATTTTGCTATTACAAATATCACATTGTACTGACTTAGTTGTTGTTTGCTCTGTAACAAGTCCAGCCATAAGCGGTCACAAGGCAGTGTTCGTAACATGGGATGATGCAATGGTAAGATTAAAAAGTCTGTTTCACTGAAGGCATCTGGCATTAAATGTGTGACTAAAGGAAATATGTAGTGAAAGGGGGGGAAAAATACTTGAGCTGTGCATTTTAGTTTAGATCATTACTCAACCTGTCCAGAGAAATGCATCAAATCCAGCTGTGGCGCTGTCATGCCCTGCTCGCTCATATTTAGTTGGGCGGTCAGTAGAGTCCGGATCAGGGCCAGATGTGAAGGAAACTAAATGAAGGATGCACGACAGCCCCACCCTGCCTAGAGATTACTACTTACAAAAAGGGAAATATAGTGCAGTTTTAAATGTTTTCTATCTTACCAGGAAGTGTTAAGGTGGCATGACTGAATCTGACAAAAGATTTAACTCAACTTTCATGTGTTTTGCTTTCAGTTGTAGTTGAATACAAGGCAGACTAGACTAGACTAGATTGTTTTTACACCGATCTGACCACTTTGTGTAATGGCTTTTGTTAAGGACAGATTTAATGACATAGCTGTGGTATGTGCCTTCCAAATCCTTCTTGTTACAATACAGTATTTGATGAGAAATTCCTGTCTTTAAATATGTTTTACATTTAAAGAATTGTAAGAATCGAGCTGAGTAGTCTTGGTTGAGACAGATTTCTTTGGTACATGTGATTGCGCAGTACAAGGCAATGCAATGTTTTATAAACCCATGTACAGATAGAACAAACTCATAAGTTTACTCTATGGGTTGCTGTGGGTGCTGTAAGACTAAATAAAGATTGTATGGTGTGTCTTCTGAGTCAATTATGAAAGAATGTAGTGCTATTAACAGGACTTTGACTTATTGACGTTAATTATAATTGATATTTTGTGGCATGCTTAAAAATAATATTGTATGTGTTGTTCATGGCAGTTTGTTTGGCAGCTGTGTTAGTGCAGAGCTGGGGTCTGCTGTAGATGACATGTCAGCGATGTGAGGGTGGTTTCCATAGCGTCTGCTCCTGGGAGACAGCTGTGGTCTATCTGAAAAACATCGCCACACTCATATGTCAGCAGGAGTTTATAAAGCTGCATGACTTGGTTTTAAAGTCAAAATTATATTCTGTCTCATGCTAATGTTTCCACAGACTGATGATGGGTGTTTTACAGCTTGGCACATTTTATTATCAAATGAAGTCATTCATTGCCTCCTACACTCATGGGATCATTGGCCAAGTTACAGTACTGTAGCCATTAATCATGCACAATTTCATAGTTTTCATAGAGTGACACTCAATATTTGTACCATAATAATCCATCTTACTCCATCAACATATGCCTTGTTCATACTGAAATGTAGTATTTCATGTGACCTGTAAACTTATTTTCAATCAATGAATATTCTTAATGCTTTTTGCTTTGTATGAACAAAAATAACTCCTAAGACTAATTGCCAGATTGGGGCTAATGAAGTTAATTGGATTCCTAAATGTGTTCCTATCCACACATCAATATCAATACCACACACATAAAGCATGTATCATGCCGAGAATGTTGCACGGGGTGCAGTAGTAGTGAGGGGGAGGGGAAGAACAAAGGATATGAAGAAGATGGTGGGAAACACAATTTAAAAGGAGATATGTCTGCTGTGTAAAACCACAAATGGCTGAGGCTTCAACATGTTTGCTGAGACACCTCGGTGCATCCTTAAATGCAGGAGAAGAGGGTGTAGGAGGAGGAAAGGCGGAGGCAGCTCTGAGCAGGGGGAGGGTGCGCTGGAGTGTCTGCCGCTTCTGTCATTCTGCTGCTGCGCGCCTCACTGGCACGAGGGTGGGCTACAGCGAGAGGAGGAGGAGGAAGAAAAGAGGAAAGGAGGACGGGAGGAGAGGGAGAGACAGGGACAGCACTGCAACAGCTGCAGGGGCCTGAGGAGCACACGGGCTGCCGGGATTGCCTTAAAGGATATATTTGTATGCCTCTTTTGCACAAGGTTAAAGCAGGGGGTGCTTTTCTCCCTGCTGATGCTGCTGTGTGTGCTGTGATGCAGGACGCGTGCTCAGGAATACTGTGAAAGAAACAGGAGACAATCTGAAGATGGAGAGAAGCGACAGCACAAAGGCGTATGGCCAAGCAGCAGAAGGTAAAGCAGTCGGCATGGCAGCCAAGAGGGCCATACCCACTAAGTCTGGAGTCCCCCAGAGCACGCAGCGCAGTGAGTTCAAGGTGTACCGAGCAGGGAGCTCTGAGGGACGGCTGCCAGTGTCCACCAGTCTCCGAAAGCAGCGGTCTATGACAAATTTAGCTGTCCTCACTGATGCAGAGAAAAAGTTGCATCTTTACGAGCCCAAATGGTGTGATGACATGACCAAACCCGGAGCAGGGCAGAACAAGACGGGCAAGTCAAAGACAGCAGGAGGGGGCACCAGCACTGGAGGAGGTGCCCCTCTCTCCAGAAACCTTTCCAAATCTGAACATTCACTTTTTCAGGGCAAACCAAAGCCCTTTGCCCCTCTGGCTGCTCCAACTGCTCTGAGCAAACAGAGCCGCATTCCTCGCGGTCCTTACGCTGAGGTGAAGCCCCTGAGCAAGGCACCTGAGGATGGCAAGTCTGATGATGAGATCCTGTCCAGCAAGGCCAAGGCCACTGCAAAGAAACCAGGAGCTGGAGCAGGAGGGGACTCTGGGTCCAAAGGCCAAGGGGACACTTATCTAAAGGTGGACCCAGAGCTGGTGGTCACAGTACTGGGGGACCTGGAGCAGCTGCTCTTCAGTCAGATGTTGGGTGAGTCTGATACGATCAGCGCTACACAACATGTGGCTGTCATGTGCTAAGCCCAGCCGTACCACTCATCAGCACGCCCCCATTCACACAGCCGCTACACAGCACCTGCTCGAACTGCTGCTTTAACGTTTTTATCATGCTGGACGATCGCATCCATGTTCACAAAGCATGCCCTTTAGATATTATTTTACCCATGCTGCCCTGTCTTGGCTTATTGCTTTTCAAGGGTGGCTATTGGTACCCATGCTACTGTTAGGGTGGTTATGAATCTGCACTCTATTGTTCCCAGTCCTTTAGCATGCTGCTCAGCTGTTTAAGGCTTGGTTTATTGATCATTATGCTCTCCTTGTTTTCTGTCATAACGCTGAATGATTTGCAAGGATGAAAATGCATTAAGGAATTTGTCCACACCTTTCTTTCTTCAAATTGTACATTTGCTGCAACACGTGTCGATGGACTGTATTTTGCATTATGGCCAAACTGCAGAGATGGGAGAGATGCTGTGCCATATTGAATTCATTTTAGGCACACAGACACATGTTTAGACACCTTCCAGCACCATTCAACTGTTGAAAATGGCAGGATGATGTCTCTGGCTTTAGATTAGATTTCATGGTTTCACACATAAATAATTGGGCTTTTATTAAAGCAAGTTCAAGTACTTTGATATGAATCCACACAGTACCTCATACTATAAACATTGCAAACAAGTACTTATACATAAATAATTATATTTCCTAATATTCTCTGGAGTACAGATGGTATGTTGCATCTTAATGAGCACCAGTGTCCTTATTTAATTTGTTATCCATGCTTCATTATCAGTGGGAACATATCAATCATGTTCATTGCACAGATCCAGCAAAACATGCCAAGTTCTTCACGTAAAGAAAAACATAATTTTCTGGATTACTCATTAGCATAGAATGTATCGTTTCAAATAGAGCAGATGATTTCCTTTTTAAGGTGACTTTTATGATATCTTAAAATCAATATGCAGGCCATTATTTCTCTAATCCCGCCAATGTATTATATAAAAATCTTTTTCAAATTGTTTAAAATGAGAATCCCATGAGACTTTTTGACCAGAAAATCAACAATAAAAAAGGCAATGGCAGCATATTGGTCCACCTTTATGTGATGTATGTACTTTTATTTACAATGTTATAAATGGTAATAGTTTTGTTCATAACAAGTAATTTACCCCAATTAACTCTCCTTTCTATACACATTGTATTTGTTACTGTAAATAGACCAGTAGTCTGAAAGCCATTTTGTGTGCTTTCTACTGCTTCTTTTCAGTAGGATATTTCACTATGAGCACAAGCAGACGCTCATTGTTTTACTTTAAAACTACAAGTTAGTTAATACCAATACTAACTTTCTAACTGGCCAGTCTATGTTGTTGCCCACGGCTGCTACACTAAACTGGAACATTGCATGCCACTGGCTCATCACAAGACAAGATCCTCCCTGATCAGTTCAGGAAAACGTGTATGGTATCTACATTATTTACAGTTGTCTGAAAAACATGTTATGCAGACTTAAGCTCTACTGTACTGAGAATTTACAGTGGAATGAGCAGAACATATCTCAGTGTAATTATATGTGAACTGTCAAGGAAAAATCCATGTGTTGCAATGTTCTGAAGAAATAATGATGATCTATGAGGACATATCCCATAGTTATTCCATTGTTAAAATTAAATTTAATCTTTAAATTTGATTTTGCCTCTGAGCCATCTCTTTTTTAGACAATATTTTACAGGCTCTTTATACCATGAAATTTGACCATATTACATGTGCTTTAAAGCAGGAGTACTGCTGTTTTAAAGAAACAAAGCCACATTTAACATGTCTTGATGTATTGTAACGGCTGCATAGCATTTGAGGAGTAATTCATTTAATGATTAAATCTTCTATATTTCAGCATGGCTCTGCACAGCATCTGCTCAGAGCACTTCCTGGAGTGTTGCATGATTCATAGGCCTTTCCTGATTCAGATCTGCTTTAGTATTCTGGCCAAGTTTACCTTTCCTCTGTTGTAAGCATGACTGCAATGCAGGGTGCCAGAGGTCTGTCAGTCACTGCACAAGAACAAAGTGCACATTGCTTTAAGTGAACTAATGGGATTTACATGTGTATTTACTTTGTATAGAATCCCAAAGACTCCAACATGTTAGGTGTCCATATAGAAGTGATACAGCAAAGGCTAGAGTTAGTAATATTTAGCAGTCAACTTAAAGTTGCCTGTTTGTTTTACAAAATTAAATAAAAAAATATTTCATTCCCCTGAAACCAATTCACTTAAAACACTGCCACAAACTGCAAAATAAGTGAACAGTATAGCTTTCTGTTCTTGTTTATGAGCAACTCTTTTCTTACAATGAGGCTTGTCTTATTTAGCAGAGCCAAGACTATCCATCTATCTACACTCTTAATTGTGCTGTAATATTGATTTGACTGCCCTGACACTGGTCCTGACACACCCTTGTACTTTTATTTAGCTTTTAGAAACACATTGTGTTGCATCTTGTCAATAAACCACCTAGTGGTAAGATAATGTATTTCTGCTCTTCAGTCTCTTTTGTCCAGGGAGTCACAGGGCATATATCACTGATGGTGAACTGATTCATTCTTATAACCCTGAGAGTATTTTCTGCATGTGGGTGAAACTGTGCATGTATGAACTGTAAAGAAACAAGCTTTTTCCAACTAAAACATAATAACCACATTTTATCTTGATTTTCTAAATGTATTTCATGTTTTTCTCTGACTAAACTACAGACCCTGAGTCGCAGAGGAAGCGGACTGTGCAAAATGTCCTTGACCTGCGCCAGAATCTGGAAGATACTATGTCTAGTCTCCGAGGGTCCCAAATTAGCCACAGGCAAGTAATACATTTGGCTACTCTTTTTCTATTATAAAAGTTTTTAACAGTTTAGTGGCAGTACTATTATGATTGTATATAATGCTTTGTCAAAAAGCCCCTATGTCCGACAAGCAACAAATAAGTGTTAAATCAATTCAAAATGCATTCACGTGTTAACATTTTTCTTTGGCTGCTCAGAGAGTTGGCACCTGGTCCACATCTGGCTTCCTTTTTTTCTTAAATAGCCTGTTCTTTCATGAGCATTACTTCATTCAAGAAATCTCTTACTATTTGGCTATGGCCAGGAAAGAAACAGACAATAATTTGTTGCTACAACCACAGCACAAAGAGCGAGGAGAGGTGGCAGGCCCTTTATTTAATTTGGATATTAAAGTTGATGCATCACAGCTGGTCTCACACTTAGAGTAGATTATCACTGAATCGTGCTGAGACTAGCGTGACTTGTGTCTCATTACTTGGAGCAGTAAAATAAATAAATGAGCTCTGTATATTTTAACACTACAGTGAACAGAACATTTATACATCCCTATTTATTATCTGTAAGTGTAAAATTATAATCATGTAAATGCATATAATTACACAGTATAAATACAAAACTGTCAGGCTACTTGTCAGGCTACTTTTAATTTATTTAACTGTTTACAATGTTGCTCCATTACTGATGTTTTTCAGATTCCTCAACAACAACATAAAAAAAAAATCGTTATTACATTACATTAGAAAGACTGTGTGGATCAACATGTGTTACCAAAGTCAATTTTATTTCTGTAAATCTGCAGGCACACTGAAGGACATACATTTTGAATGTATCCTCTTTCACTACTAATAAAAAGCATTTAACATTTGTGGGCTAGAATGCAGTAAATAGTAAAGAGTTTGTACATTGCCCTCAGATTATAATAGGTTAACTATCTTTAAATGGCTCCTATTATTATTTGCTCAAAGTCACAGCTTTTCTTTAGTCCCAGAAGACTTTGCAACATAGCTGCTGCATGTAGGTCAATGGTGACTCAATGTCCTTTTTGGTTTCGTTTTAAAAGCTCTAAGATACAGAAAAAGCATCACTCTGAGTTTTCAGTGTTTCCCTTTCGTTCTATCTGTTCTTTTTAGTTGTGTGGACAGCAGTAATGTTGGCTATGACAGTGACGAGACCAACGCTCGCAGTCTATCCAGCTTGTCCAACCGCTCCTCGCCTCTGTCGTGGCGCCATGGTCAGTCCAGCCCTCGACTTCAGGCTGGGGATGCTCCCTCTTCCACAGGAGGGGGGTTCCAGGGCAGTAAGGGCAGCTCTCAGTACACTGCCCACACTATGCCTGCCCGCTGCACTGGGCGCCTCAACAGCACGTCACGCATCGAGCTCATTGAGGGTCTGGATGTGGACGACCCCGACCTGAAGTCTGGGTACCTGAGCGACAGTGACCTTCTGGGGAAGAGCCTGCCTGACGATGACGACGACAATCTGGCTAATGGGTAAGAGCAAACCACACAAAAGATGAGAGAAAATGAAACATGAAATGCAGCATCTGGTGTTGCCATGACAACTGCGGCTGCTGCTGCTGCTGGTTTGTCCTTTCAGCCTCCACCTTTTGACTTTTAAGGGGTCAGGTTTGTCAGAGCATTGTATTTAAGTCACAACAATCAATAGTAGGGTCTTTGGCTTTGCTTCTAGGCAGAGGCTGCTTTGATCAGTGTTATTCACAGTGCCTAAGAGCATTGATTATTTTTACAATAGCTAAAACGTAAGCATTTTTAGAGCCTAGGGATTATATTATTTTTTTCATTATGAAATTATTTGCTTAGAAAGAGCAGTGTAGACGGCATCTACAAACCAAGCGCTGTCTACTAACCAAGAATTTAGTATCTGCAAAGATACTTTTAGCTTAGATCAAAGCATACTTTATAAATCTCAGATACCATATGCTTTGACTTATGAGAGATTCTGTAGGAATCTAAATGTAACTTCTGGGTGATAGTTGAGTTGTATAAGCTTGTCTAAAACATACCTGCCAAACAGATATCCTCTGCATTCCTCTTGTCCAAATACAATTTAAGGGAAATTCATTACATCTACCATATATTCTTATCTTTTCACTAAAATAAACTATTGAAGTAGATGCATTTGTCTCTTATCTTTATTCAGTTGCTTTCTCTCTAGTCCTTTGTGTGTCTTGATCTAATTCCATCTCCCACATGCACAGACAACGGACAGAGTAAGTCAAAAGGAAGTGGAGGAATCCAGGACAGTTCTCTAGCATGGTTAGGGAGCTTCATCACAATTGCACATGCACTGGGACTTAAGCTCTGCCTCAAGAGCATTAACTGTGCAGGTCATGTTTTTACTTACCCCAAGAGGACTTTAAGGACGCAAAATGAGGGACTTACGTTGAAGGGAAATAGATGCAAGAGGAAATTAGTGGGTCATTTTCAGTGAAGTGCCTTGGAATGAGGGGTTAAGAATAATCAGACTAACATTGTAATGGTTTTGTGTACTGATTACAGAGCAAAGCTAAATTAGGGCTTCTTTTTTTGGGAAGGAAAGTTGAAAATTGCCACATAGCATAGCACTAGATCAGATTGAATTTGATTTGACTGATGGTCTGTCTTTGAGTAAAGTGTGAGTACTTATGGTACCAAATGGATGTCTGTAGTAAGATTCATGTAGGGTTGAATGAAACAGCAGGAGGCAGAGCTGAACATATGAATACACTGACAATTGTTGATTGTTTGGTTTTGCTTAGTGACTATTTTGATGTTGTTATTAAATGTTGTATCTATATAACAATAAAATAGAGCAAGAAGTCTGTAACATTTCACACTTTTCTGGAAACTGGTTTGCTTTTCAAGAATATCAGAGAATGCTAGCTACTATTTGTCATTTCAGCCTCATAAATAAATGCAGCAACATAAAACCCTGTTGATAAGAAGCTAATCCGCTTTTTGAACCGACACCTCACAGCCTGATTTTCTCCTCTGTGTGTGAAACATTTGCATTTCTACTGTACATTCTTGTCACATGCTCTCGGCTTTGCTCAATGAGGACCATTAGCTCCCCGCACTCAAAAATAGACCAACCTCCCTGTGCGTAACCATGGCAACACCACTCAAAATCGGCTGTTAAAGGAGGTGTAATTGTGCTCCTTTTCACCCCTTTTTTCTTGTTGTGTTACAATTTCAAATCTTAGCTTCTACAATTAGACCAATAAATGCTGCTTGTATAATGTCAAGATCACATTGTAACATATGACACAGTGACTCTTTTTATTAAACCATATATAAAGCCCTGAAGTAGATGCAGCACAGTGTTGACTAATGGATATTGATTTTACTCATACAGACAACAACTGGCTATCTGAGACCAAATGTGTCTCGTCTGATGGTAATCACTGCTCCAGCTGGACTCATCAATAATGTAATATTCCACTGTCAGGCCAAAGGCTCAATCACTGGCCTATGGTTTAACCTACTTTGAATCTTGGCTTGAAAGGTCAGAGTTTGCATACACTTCCACCCATAATTCATCAGACAGTCTGACATTATATTAAACTGTATTTGTTGTTGCTATTTTAAAAGAGAATTAGGCTATCCTGTGTTGTTTTTGTTTTTAGTTTAAGGCATTTTTATGCTTTGGAAATATTGGTCAAAATAAAACTTTCACTTGATTTCAGAATCATGCATTCTATACAAAAACCTTTTTGTCTTTTTTAGTTGCCACAGTGTCTGCTGATTCCTGGCTTCACTATTCACCGTTGTAGTCCCAGCACTTAAGTGATTGTGTTTCCCATCACAGATACACTAAGTGTTAAGATTACTTCCTTTTCATCTACTCACATTCACCACATGAAGAATCTTTGCTTTTTCTATGCTTTTCCTGCTCATATCCCTCACATTGTTTGGCACTTATGCCCTATACTGTACTTAAGGCTGTAATCATGCAGTCACTCCAGATTGGACTGACTGATTAGTTGATGTTTTTTTTCTATAATGTCATTATGGATGTTTTAAGGCCATTCTAATCTGGCGATCATTGATTGTACTAGTTTGCTTTGTGCTATAGATGTGGACACTGCCAGCTTGTGTCCCTATAGCAGCCTACAGGCAGCAGTGCAGAGCAGAGAGGGGAGGCTAGTTCAGCAGCATCACACCTCGCATCATGCGGCAGCTCGGGATGTGCTACCATGGCAACCATTTTGCACTGACCCAGTGATGGGAGCTCTGTGTGTCAGTGTGATAGCGTCTGAGTGAGAGAGGGGGGCGTGTGCAGAGACAGAGAGACGAATGGTGCTGCTTGTACACGGCTGGTGTGAGGATGCATGCAAACGCTTAATTGGATTGTGTTTTAATTGGTGTCACAGGCAAGAACTGTGTCTGTGTGCTACAGGCGTCTGTTAGCAGGTCATTGCTATTGTGGCTTTCCTTTTCTTGATAAGATCTGCAATCTGTTCAAGAGAATGAGCTTTTCCCATGTCAAATTTTCCTTATCTTGGCACACATAGACTTAGCATTTTACTTACTTTCGGTTAAGTATTATACATTTTGCAAATTTTCATTCATTTACCATGAAATTAAAATGATAAATGCGGTTCCAAACCTGAATAAACAAAGAGTATTGTGTCTGGAGTAAAATCTAAAATAAATCTAACTAAAATATACCAGGACTCCATTTTTAAATGAATTGCTATGATGAGAAGGAAAAAGCCAATAAAGAAACCACTGATAAGCCTCTGCCCTTTCTCTTATGACATCATAGCTATGTTAACCACAATAAAGCGTTGCCTGTTAGATCAAAGTCAGCCTTTTGGAGAGAAGGAAAGTATCTATTTACAAGTGGAAACTGTTCCTTTTTTGAGAGACACAATCTGCACGGGATTTTTCTACAGTTATTTGATCTGCGCTTGAGTCTGTCTGCATTTCATTTCCCTTTCCTGCATTAGTTGGACCTCTCTGTCGACACCAAATGTTCCGCTGGATGTTTAAGCCTTGCATATTTTTGACCCATTTTGATCAAAGGACCGGTTTTAGTGGTAACCCTCGATTGCTGTGACTATAATTTAACAAGCCCACCACACAGGGTCACTTCTTTATGTGTTATGGTTCAAGAGAAAGGGATGTGGTTTACGTACATTTGACAAGAAACAACAATAAAAGGCTCCATTTCTCTTAGACCTGCTGCGTAATGTGTTACTGTAACCTATAGCATACACAGACCCCCACAGTGTATGGCCCAAACACATATGGGGTCAATATGGAGTTCACTGTTTCCACTAAGGGTCACTAAAATACCCCCCCAACCATCCCACTCACCATCAGCTGCACCAGACCAATGTGTAAGTCACTATTACAGCAGCACCCAAGGGAGACATGAATCATCGCTGTATCATGTCTGCATGTGGTCGTCTGGGTGTGCAGTTGTATACTGAGGGGAGAATACTGGGCCTCAGGCAGAAGATGTGATTCATTTTTAATAATATTTTAACAAGTCTGTGTCATGCAGATCGTGGGAACTCTGAATATGCACATTTGTAAATCTTGTTTCCTCCTTTGTGCAATAATGTTATCCAGTTTAGCTAATTTAAAACAAGAGATCTTTCCAAAAAAGGAATGTTTTGAAAGACGATTTATGTCTGTTGTCCAGTCCAAAAAGTCAGTTTGAAGGCCCTGTGGATTTGAGGTGAATGCAATCTCTGAACCATTTTACTGCTCTGATGTAGTGCTCTCAGCAGGGGGCAGCGCAGACCTATTTGCTGAGGTCTCCATAAACTCTGGCTGCATAAAAGTCTGAGAAGAATTGGACTCAGTTGCCTTTTTCAGCTGCAAATCTTTCACTGATAATGAATCATTGAACATTGTATTAGTAGTTCTACAGCTAGGACATTTTTCATAAACTTTTATATTACGTTGGATTTGCTGTTACCTAAATCTTTGCACGCAAAAAATCAGTACTTAATTATTTAGGTTTTTTGTTCAAAGCACCAACTTTTAGAAGATGGGATCTTACTATTTATAACCTGTGGTTATGCTTCCTCCTTGTGGACATCTTTTGTCATAGCAGCATTACAGACCCCACCACGTCATTATGAAGTAATTATTTTGTAAGCAGTTTATGCACATACATTTTTTCCTTATTATTGTAGATGTGCTCAGATAGTAATACTTTGCATAATAGTTTAAACCTTTACCAATTAATAAACTTTGAATAAAATAATAAACATAACTAAACATGAATAGAGTTGATCTCACCCAATTTTCACAACGTATCAAGTGAAACATCTGCTTTTTCTTTGAAATCACACAGAATGCGTCTTTAAATATTTGTAAATCCCTCTAAATCTATTCACATCTGATTAATGGATCACCTTCAGTACAGACAAACACGCAAAGGATGTTTCTGTACAGGCCATTTGGTTATCTGTGTGAGGCAGCTGTTCAGTACAAACAAGAGTTCAAGGCTTTTAAGTTGACAGCTTGTTTAGCAGTGCTGTGGCCTCCCAGATATACAGGGCAACCTGACCAACATTATTTGTGAAATTTTCTAAACAGTCTAGAAATGTATTGCTTCAGGGTAAAAAAATTTACCGGTAAGCAAAATATATTTTGGAAAGAAGTAAAAAGTTGATCTTGAGAGCAAACACACATGCAGAGGCAAGCAGAAATTGAGATAGGAGACAGAGACAAAACAATGTTATATCCAGTTCAAATCTCACTGTGAAGCTAAGTCAGTTTTTGCAGACTACATCAAGGGAAACCATCTTTGAATACATTTAGAAAATTCTTTAGGATAAACTGTTTTTTCTATTAAAGGCTGAGGTCTAATGTGGAAAAGACTTAAAATAATTGCATCAACAGAGATATTGTGGTCTGTTTTAAATCTGACTTGCATGAGACTGCTATTTCCTGACAGTTCTGTGGATTACATTTGGAAATACATTTGCACTGCTGGGTCACAAGTTATACCACATTCTTAATTCACCAAAACAGATCACTCTTTCGATGTCTTTTACTTATCTTAGCTGTGTAATGATGTATATTTTTTATCTAATTAGGCTTGACAAGTGTAAATGTAATTGAAAAAAAGCTTTCTTTAAAGTGAGGGGTGAACATGGGTGGACCAAATAGCCCATAGCCCTGAGTGTAGATAGATTTGGTGAAGTCATCTCAGAATCTGTTCCACTGCTAATGAGAGGGAGACAGGACTTTCCAAGGCTGCTCATGGCTCACTGGAGGGCTTCAACTCATTTAAGGATTTGTGGTTGAATTCTGTGATTCAAGACAAACCGTGGACTGAAGTTTTTCCAGAAAACCCAGAAAAGGTATGGGTTATTTATGTTATGTCCAAATTTAGAGGATCACTGTTTAAGAAAGTTGTAAAACCATTTTTTTTTTCTTTTAAGTGAAATTTGGACAAAACTTCTGACAATCATTGCTTAAAGTCTTGTCTAATTTGGGTATATGGGTAGGAAGGCTAGGTGAAAAATTGCATACAGTATTTTCAAGTCAGTACAGCCTCTCACCTGTGGCCAAATGCTTGTTTGTCATGTCTTTTTTTAATGAGTTATCAGATTTGTGATTCTATGTAGCTCTTTAAAAATGCCTCCCCTCATTATTATATAGGTTAATTAAATCATAATTCACAGAAAAGAATGTGTGCACGAGCGCTTTTCAATTTTTCAATAGACCTTGGTTAGCATCGCGCAGTGTCTCTCCTCTCCTCTGGCCACAGTCGCCCCGCGGCTCTCTCTCTGCGGAGGGGGAGTCACTGTTTCCTTTGAAGCGTCAGAACAGTCTGCTCCAGAGCTGAGGAAGGGTCGTTTTCTTCACTCAGGATATGTGCATTAATGCCAAAGGATATAATACCAGGAAAACTATTAACCTAGAGAAACGGAACAAATGAATGGGCGCATTTTAATCGGAAAGGTGTCTCCCTTGCAGTCGACACCAAGAGCTAAAAGAGCACTTTTTACATCAAGGTAAAGTCAGTGACCTTGTGCTTTTAGATTATTTCTATTACTTGTTCTTACTGTTTTATGACATTGTGATGCTTTTTCTTAATGGAGTCTGGACATCACTTGAATTTACCTTGCACTATATTAAATGTGAATGCAAGCCTATATACCTTTGCATCGTTTAGACATAAATATATTTTAAAATAAAATAAAGACATTATTGTTTTACTTTCTTCCTTTTTGTGGAAATACACTGTATTCTCTAAGCACTACTTCTTATGTAGTATGTTGTTCAAACATTCTAGCCAGTATAGAGTGATCTTATCTTCCTTTCAGTCTGGCTCTACATCACGTTTCAGCATGTCACCTGCCAAGACGATCTTAGGTTGATTGTGTATTGTCCGCCCAGTACCAGACCTTATTCTTAACTCAGTATGTTGGGAATAAAAAATATTAGCTCCCCAAAGCACAAACCAAGAGATATGTTGGAGCTGAGCCACTAAAAACACAAAGCCTAATTGCCACCCTGGACTAAAGTATGTGTGATCTGACACACTCCCACTCTCTGTTTCTGGGTTGCACCTCTGGGAGCAGACACTTGGAATATCTACAACCCACAGCCAGAATCCACTGACATTAGTTTATTTGTGTCATTCACAGCTGACAGTGGTGGCATTGTTTAAACATCGTGTACTTACCATTTACATCTGGGGGGAACAGAACCCACAAAAAATACTGCACTCATGCGGCACATGGTATTTCAAAACATCTAAATCATCAAACTCATGTTTATTTTAGGTCGTGTTAAATATTTCCTGTGCTCGTTCTTCATAAATCTCCAGCAGATCTACTGTATCCACACCAGAATTTCAACACTCAGTGCAAAGTGTTAAGACTTTGTTTTACAGTTGTGGCCATATAACCATGTGATTATACCTATTTCCAAATGTGTATGGGACATTTTTATCCCCCTCTGTTTTTCTGTGCACTTCCTTGTTCCATTCCTTTGCTAATTGCAGACTGCAGACCCACAAAGAGCAGCTTCTCTTGGATGGAGGAAGGCAGCCGAAAGTGAAAAGCTCTTACAGTGACTCAGCTTTAAGTACCTTCTCTCTGCAGTAGTTTTTTGTGAGCAGCTTGAGCTTGATTATCCCTTGTGGTTGCCAGTAGTAATGATGGGGAACTTGCTGCAATTATAGCTGGACTTGCATTCACTAGCCCCACAACTTGTAAATTTAACAAGGCATTAGTGCTGAATTTAAAAATGTGGTGCCATCAATTTTACCCACCAATGTCTTGCAATGTTAGCAGGCTACAGCTGTTAAAAAGCTAAAGCGTGGTTTTAACTGCAACTTTCATAGACTGAGGTAGAAGTCAGCAAAGGTTTATGGGTCTGTCACTCTGATTTACCAAGTTTTATAGAGAATACCAAGCTACCAGCAGCAGTCTGCCACATTTCATTTATCCCTTGGAATTGTTACTCCTAAGTCAACAAGGACCTGATCGCATCTGAAGTCTAAGATGTTTTACTGAGGTATTCTTGCATATTTGTACATTATATTTTACTATAATTATTTTTTTCTTTTCACAAGGGATCTCAGTCCCAGATTAATGGGTTGGGTAGCATCAGAATTTTTTTTTGAAATAAAACTAAAAACTCAAAACCTTTGCAAATCACTGTATAATCTGTTCTTCACAATAATAACTGACATTTCTGGGATACCACTTCCTGTGCTGATTTCGATTACTAATATTTGTTTGACTATTATACTCTGTTACACACTACATATGTATATACTGTTTGTATGGTCGAACAAGTCCACCATTGAAGCTTTAGCAACCACATCGCTGGTTGCTATTACCATTCAAGCAGATGTACCCATTTTCAAATTACTTGCTTGTTTGAGCATGTGGTCTCCTGCAAGGACAACTTACTGTAGACAGATGGCCTCTAGTTTTTTTCCCATTTCTGCCCTAATTTAAATGCTTAGACTCACTGTATTATTTTGTTTCAGGTGGGATGAGAGCAGCTCCATCAGCAGTGGCCTCAGCGATGGCGACGGCGATGGATCGGAGAATATTAGTTCAGAAGAGTTCAATGCTGGCTCGTCCCTCAACTCCCTCCCAAGTACACCCCTAGGATCCAGACGCAGCTCCTCTGCCATGGTGAGCCAATTTAGCTAACAGCTTGTAATTTAGCATGTGGCAAAGATAGGCTTCCAAATAGTTTACTTAGTTTTTAAAAGACTGAATCTGCCAAATTACTGACTGGCAAATAATTTTCAGTTCCACTTTTTAAGATTTTATTTCTGTTGTGAAGTTAAATATCTGACAACATCACTAATGAATATTGTTCAGTGCTTTATTTGAATAGCCTTTTTTGTAACATCTCAATGTCAAAAGAAAGGGATGGAAAAACAAAGCTTTTTATCCTCATTGAAATAAACTGTACAAGATGGTGTTCATTCAGTAGACCATCTGTCAGTATACAGCGAGCCAAAATACTGCATGCCCCATTTTATCTTTTCAATGCCCCAAAATAGTTTCTCCTTTGTCTCATGCTTTTTAAATCTACGTTTTGTTTTTTTTTTTGTTTAAGTCTAGCACATATCTGCGTATCTTTCTTTCTACCCTTAAGAATCTGACTTAGATGAAGAAAACGATTACACCAACAGTGAACACACATTTCCATAGATAACACATGCCATGCCTGAGGTTTACCCTTACTGTGCCCCTCTGCTCTGCTTCTATTCAGCTCCGCACTGATGCAGAGAAACGCTTCCTGGTGGAGAGTGGACTTTCGTGGTACAGCGAGGACAGCAAATCCAGCCATAAACTGGATAGGGCCAGCTTTGACACCGGGAGCCTCAAGTCGGAAGCACCAAGCAAGTGGAGAAAGAAGCCCCCAAGTTTAAGTGAAGACTTTGGCAAAGGAGAGGCAAAGAAGCCCCAGAGTTTAGGGCAGCCGGGCAGCTTCAGAAAGGGCAAAAATCCCCCTGTGGGAGTCACCTCTCCTATCACCCACACGTCCCAGAGCATGCTCAAAGTGGCAGGTAACTCCTTATGATCCTGTTTTTCCTTAGTATACACTATATAGACTATTTTCTTTCTATGAATATTGCACACTTACTCACAGATCCTACAAATTATAATACTGGAAGGCATTTTATGGGGTAGATTCATAGTAGTAAAACCCATGATTCAGACTTCAGGTCAGGGTCATATAATGTCTCTTTCCTTATTTACTATATAGAGTGAATTATTGTTTTAGTTAAGTATTTATTTTTTATCTGAAGTTTTTTAGTTTATAGGGAACAATAGTAGTGCTGATGGAACAATTTAGTTTGATATGATTTATTAGTTTCCATTTGTCTCTACACTCTATCCAACATCTGAGTTGTAATTTAGTGAAGATACCTGAACTGACCTCAAGAAAGTCTCCCAATGGAAGCTCTAAAGTATAAAAGTGGTTTAAAAAAAGGTTTTTTATCAATGCCATGTCATTCCATGTGTCTGTGCAGCTCCTAAAAGTGAAAAGCCACAGGACAAATCTCGGATTTCTGTCAAAACTGCTGGTCTACAGCGATCTCGGTCAGATGCTGGAAAGGATCACCATGGAGAATACCGCAAACCTCCTTCAGGTCTAGTTAAACCCACTGCTGGAGCCTCGTTTGGTTACAAAAAACCCACGGCCACTGGTACTGCCACTGTTATGACAGCAGGTGGTGCCACTATCTCAACTGGCTCTTCCACTCTGGGAAAGCCCCCCAAGTCATCTGGCATCCCAGTGAAGCCAGCAGGGGCACCAACAGGTCGCAAAAACAGTTTTGATGCTAGCAGTGAGCAGGGCTTTCTGGGGCCTAATGCCCGGAATAGTATTCAGTATCGCAGCTTGCCCCGCCCGGCCAAGTCAAGCACCCTCAGTGTCATCGGGCGTCCTGCATCTCGACCTCCCAGTGGTATTGTTGACCCCAGTCTGTTGAGTCTCAAACCCGTATCCATTGGCACCGCCGGGCCCAAGGTTAAAGAACCAAACAGTTCTAGTGGTAAAATTACTAATCGCACAATGTCAGGCCCAGTGAACCAAACAGATCGAGAGAAGGAGAAAGAGAGGGCCAAAGCCAAGGCTGTGAGTGCTGACATGGACTGTGGTTCTCTGAAAGGAGAGGACATGTTGTCACAAAACACAGAGGAACCTGCTTTGAAACTGCATGGCCTCAGGCGCACCAGCAGCAGCAAATACCCCGAGCTCTCATCACCTACAACACCAAGGTCTGTTGTTCATTCACACTCCCCTTCATTTACTCCCTGATTTACCTTACCTCATTATTTATCAAATTCACTACATATTTCCATTATATTGGAATTTACAGACTATATACAGATTTTACTAAATAAAAAAATCTTAAAATTTGTACTATCAAACAGGAATACCCATTATTCTGAATCATTTGAGTCACAATAAGGACATAAATATGAAAAACTAAATGATATTGCATTGTAATAACACATAGTGTACTGTTTGTACTGCCTCTCCACTGTCTCTCCACTTTTCCTGTAGGATGAAATCACTTGGCCGTCCTCCTAGTCTGGCTCACCTGGACAAGGTAAACTCCAACAGTCTTGACTCATGTGTGACCATCCAGGACCTCCCTCCCAAAGTACCCCCTTACTCTAAGCTCCAGGACTTGGCAGGTTCTCACTGTGGCGGCCGCCTTACTCCCAGCCCAGCACCGGTGCTCCATTTGGACTCCTCCAGCTCCTATGAGACCCACACAGGTTCTCCACTGCTCTACCCCAAACTGTCGGGCATGCACCGCAGCCTGGAATCCCTGCCTCTGCAGATGAGTGTCCCCTCCAGTGCAAGGTTTGGCCCTTCAGACATGCAAGAAAAAGAACAACGGGGCACAGGCACGTGGGGATCGGCCACCAGGACACCCATACAAGAGAGGTACAGTAGTGGATTCGGCATACTGAATTATTAGCTGAATGAAATTATAAAGTGGTGATGTTAAAACGCTACTTCTGGGTCCAATGATATTCTAGCCTCATAGTTACTGGTACATTTTGGTAGATTTTTTATGGCTGTAAGCTGTATTAGACCGGGCAGATTTAAGTGAAATATGAAATGGGGGTGAATACTGAGGAGAAGCAGTCTCATAACTGAGGTCTTTTTGCAACCAAGACAATAGACTATTGTGCAGCAGGATTTATCCTGCCCAAGGGCTGTGCAGAGTACTGTTTATTTTGGACAATAATTTAAACATAAATAATCAAGGAATGTAATAAAGTTCCTGTTTCTGTTTGTTGTGGCTTTGAATGTTTGGACCCGTTATGCCATGGCTAACAATTCCATAGAGAAAGCCAAATGGTCTCATCACATTGTGGTCCATGTTTGTCATGTGTCTCTTTCTCTGTGCAGCTTGCAAACAGACAGAAATACATTTCCGAAGAAAGGCTTAGAGTATGTTAATAATTTCTAATTCATATAATCGTATTTTGCCTTTTATTTTAAGTTAACATTCTTTCCTCTTTCCAGACGCTGCAGTTCAAGTCTGTCAGAGAGTGAAGGAAGCAAATCAGGCAGGCGCCACTCTCACACCATAATGAGTATGACAGAGAGCCATAGTCCTCCTCAGCTACCCTCTCCCACCCGCCCTCTCCACGCAACCACAACTAAGACTCCGCTCACCAATGTGGGTAAGTTTTGTGTCCAGTTTGACTTCCATAGTTTGACCTTGGGTGAAAATATTTGATGAATGAGTCCTAAATGTAACTACCTTAAATCCCTTTCCGTGTCCTAATGTTGGCAACCTTATAAAATGTAATATTCAACTTGACAATTAGAAACAATTAGGTGATTAGTAATAAATAATTAATTAAGTTTAAACTTAAAGAGGTAAACTTTTAAAGAGGTAAACATGAAGAGATAAACTTTGCAAAGTCTTTGAAGCAAAAAGGGGTCAAGCCAGCCTATATTTATCTGGGTTGTAGAAGTGTAGTGTTGTCTTTCACTGACTCATCAAAAAGGGAGAACAGTGCTGAAGTGTTGTCCTACCTACTCTACATTATGTTGATTTTTGTTCAGCTTCAGTCTGAATATATTTCTTTTGTCACAGTTGCTCCCATTTCCTGTGGCACCCCAAGGATCTCACGCTCCAACAGCATAGGCCCCCCAAGTGACTCTAGTGATCTGTATGGATCTTCCCCCTTGGGTAGCAGTATGTCCCTGGCTGACCGGCCAAAAAGCATGATGCGTTCAGGGTCTTTCCGTGAACCTGGGGAGGATGGTGAGATAACCCTACTATGGCAAATTAAATTAATTTTTAGCTGAAGGCACATTTGTTGTCTGTAACAATAAATCTTATATGATATTTTTTTTCAGTGCATGGCTCTGTATTGTCTTTGGCCTCCAATGCTTCATCCAACTATTCCTCGGTAAGTTTTCTTTGACACAGTCTGTATAAGATTAGAACAGACACAAACACGTCAGGCCATGTTTTTCGATCGAAAAATGGTGGCTTGCCCTCTCCAGGTGGGTGGAGAGTCCCTGCCTCAAGTGGAGGAGTTCAAGTATCTCGGGGTCTTGTTCACGAGTGAGGGGAGGATGGCGCGTGATATTGACAGGCGTATAGGTGCAGCGTCTGCAGTGATGCGGTCGCTGTATCAGACCATTGTAGTAAAGAAGGAGCTGAGTCGAAAGGCAAAGCTCTCAATTTACCGGTCAGTCTATGTTCCTACCTTCACTTATGGTCATAAGTTTTAGGTAATGACTGAAAGAACAAGACCACGGATACAAGCAGTTGAAATTAGTTTAGATTAGAGTTTAGTTACAGTACAGCCGCTGCTCCTCTACGTTGAGATGAGCCAGATTAGGTGGCTCGGGCATCATTCCGGATGCCTCCTGGACGCCTCCCTGGGGAGTTGTTCCAGGCATGTCCCACCTGGAGGAGGCCCCAGGGAAGACCTGGACATGCTGGGGGGACTATGTCTCTTGGCTGGACTGGGAACGCCTCGGGATCCCTCCGGAAGAGCTGGAGGAATTGTGTATGGAAAGGGAAGTCTAGGCCTCCTTGCTCAGACTACTCCTCGACCCAGTCCCGGAAAAACAAAAGAGACAGAATGAATATGAGAATATGAGAGAAATGTGTTTTATGTTACACCCAGAATTTAATACTCAGTATTAATAGTTACAATATGTGATATTCAGTCATGCTTTTGTAAACTGTATTCATTCATAATGCAAATGGAATTTTATATCTTACAAACTTTTACTCCGACCTCCAATTTGCCTTTTTTGTTTATTTTTTACCATGCTTTCTGTAGAATGAGGAGAGGATACAGGGAGAGGTAAGGCCAGTGTGATGTCACTGTGTGTCATTTCTCATTTCCTGTAGATAGCCTCATTCATCTGCTCTTATCAGTCCATAGTGTGGAGTCTGTCCAGTGTTATAACATTGCTCAGTTTATCTAATACCGTCATACCGTCAGTGTCCTAGCTTCCTAATAACACATATTAGACAATATTAAATTCTGCATGGAGAGAATTCGTTGTGGTTCTCAATATGTACAGTTCAAAAAGCAACAATGCCAGGATTAAACTTGGGCAAAACCAGAATTGTCATAATGTGGAAGAACTATTGTAAAGACAAATATTAGGCTTGAAACCAAGTTTTACCATGGACCTAAACTGTGTCTAACCTCCAAGTTAGTAGGAGGACCTAGACAATATCTGATTGAACCCATTGCTAAACCTGTTTTGTTTACACCATGTTTTAAAAACGAAAACTGTGTGAGAACCATTGCTCAAATCATAATCCTATCAATGTTGTTTTTACAAAAACCTTTGAAGAAAATTATATTTTATGTTTTCTAAAATATACACTTCTTTGTGTCTACAGCAAATACGCATGCTGAGAAGAGAGCTTGAGTGTTCTCAAGAGAAGGTTGCAAACCTCACCATGCAGCTTTCTGCCAATGTACGTATGTTTTTAGGGAGTATTCTGTGCTGTCTTAGCTGCATGGCTGTTCTTTTGATAAGGTGGAGGTCTAATGGAATGAAACATTATTTATGAAAGACCTTGTATCTTCTTCTCCTAAATGATTTAGTGGTAGTTGTAATGCTACATCTGGCCTTATCTCTTCATTTAACCCTTTATAGTCACTAGAGAATGCTTTTATACTTAACCCAATTTTCAAATAACTTCACACTTAATAAATCCATTCCACATTATGCAATCTAATCAAATAATCTAAACTGCTCTGTTCTTTTGTCTGCATTTTATGCATACTTTCCTCTCCTAATGCTCACTTTCTTTATATTTCTGGCTTTATTAACTCCTGGACTGCTTCCCCCTGCCTGTGCCCTACTGACCTGCTCACTGGATGCTGGGTTTAACAGATAGGACAGGTTTGTTCCTCAAACAATCACTAGTTTCTCTGCAGTACTTGAGCTACATCACAACACATATTTTCATCATGTTTATATGCTTTAAGTGTTTTATTCACTCCTTCGTTCATGTTTCTTCAATAAATCTAAGTCAAAGTAAACAGACATTCTAGCCTTAGTACTGTTAAGGTTTGTGCCCACCCATATTCCTGACATCATCTTCAGCTGTGTTATCTCATATTGTTGTACTGTGATCACTCAGTCTGTTAAACTAAACTAAATGTTTTCTGTGTTTCTCTCAAGGCCAATCTAGTAGCTGCTTTTGAGCAGAGTTTGGCACTGATGACAGCTCGTTTGCAGACTCTGTCAGTGTCCTCAGAACAGAAGGTATTTTGTAATGCCTTTCCTAATGAGCATTATACCACATGTTCATCACATATGTAGCATGTTTGTAAGAATAAACTTAGCATTTTAACATGTCGTTAGAGTTGTTATGATGCTAATTGCTTTGCCAAAGCTTAACTATTGGCATCTCATGAACTCCAAAAAGAATGTGGGTCACAGGTTTGCATGTATGGATTCTCATCTTGTCATCAGTTACTCATCTTGGCCTGTCATTCCTGGTGAAAGGAGATAGACATTCCACAATCCTGAGTGTTGTAGAATCTCGGTTCAGTTACTGATCTGTGGGAGAAAGTGCGAGCACTTACTCATGATTCCCTCTGCAGGATTTTGAACTCACAGAACTTAAGGACACCATTGATATTCTGAAGGCCAAAAACACAGAGGCCCAAGAAATCATTCAGGGGGCGCTCAGTAGTCCTGACATTACCCCAAAAGGTACATGTGGATTTTTGTTTTCATCACTATAAATACTTCATAATGTTGCACTAATTATTATATTCTATCTCTAGAAATGCCAATTAATCGTCAAAATTCTTCAGAAAGCCTCTCCAGTCTCGCCAGCACCACCAGTCATTCTAGTATGGGTAGTTTCAAGGAGCAGGAGGCCAAAAAGAAGAAAAAGAAAGGCTGGGTAAGGTCACTTGGATACTACACATCAAAAACTGATTGTCTAGTCAAGATTATAATGACATGAATAGAGAATATTAATCTAGATTTTAGTAGGTTTGGGTTGTTTTATGACATTTGCTACTAAATCCAGGATAATTTAGCTTGAAAATAAGAAAATTAATATTCAGTTTATTGTGGTAAGTACAAATCTACTACATTGGACAATAATTTGAATATTGGATAGTCAGACTAGTAGACTAGTAAATCTAAACTTGTCATAACTTCTGACCTTGAGATTAATATTCTGAATTCAAGTAATTGTAACTCATCTTGATATTCCTTTTTTGCAGTGTGTGGAAATTTAATAATATTTTTTCCTGCTTGACTTTTACTTCCCTAGTTGATTTAAAACTGTTTTTAATGTCTCTGGTATGACTCTGGTTTCTCCCTTACGCTGCCCTGATTTTTATTTTAGGTCTTTGAGGTGAGTGATGTTGCTAGTAAATAAAGTCTAAATATCTTACCCCACAAAGTGCATGTGTTTCATGATACTAGTGAAACTCTTACTTTTTACCCTATACAGTCTCTACTTAGACAAATTGCTGTCATTTCATAATTGCAATAAATTGTCTTGAATGTGCGTATGCTTTGCTATAGAACTTCTTATAACTTTCTTATTATGGTCTTCTAGTTACGCAGCTCCTTCAATAAAGCATTCAGTAAGAAAGGGTCAAAGCAGTCAGGGCCATACGCTGACATTGAGGAGATTGCCACCCCAGAATCCTCTGCGCCTTCCTCTCCTAAAGTTCGCCATGAAGCTGAAAACCCTGCACCATCAATGAAATCTTCCGCTTCTGCCTCATCATCTGGGTAAGCATAGTTACGATGGCTACAAAATAAGACTAACCTAAATTTACCTCAGGTTGTTAGTCTGATGATCTTTGTCACATTAACACTTGTCTTTTGTGTTTGTGTTGTGTGTGTATCCTTAGACTGTGTGAAGGTGGAGAGGGGGTGGAGGAGAAGGTGGTATCAGAGTTACGCTCAGAGCTGTGGGAAAAAGAACGCAAATTGACAGACATCCGGCTGGAGGCCTTGAGCTCCGCACATCAGCTGGAGCAGCTACAGGAGGCCATGACTAATATGCAGGTCTGCACACATTCATGTGGAGTATAACAAATATTAACAATTATATACCATGAAATGCACTACTATCTTACTCATGTTACATTATGAGCATCAGAGGTCAGACCAGCTGTTGTGAAATCTATCAATCTATCATCTGTCCTATTTGTTTCATAGAGGACAGTGGAGAAGCTGAAGTCTGAGAATGACCAATTAAAGACAGGTGGTCTCTCTCCTTGCCCGTCTCCTGGACCTTCCAGCTCTGCGTCACAGTCCTCAGGCCTGGCCACTCTGGGCAACTCCTCCCCACGGCAGTCTGTAGCCATGCACATGCCCAAAAGCTACAGCAGGGGGCTGAGTGAGGGCTGCTCAGGTACTGTCTAACATGAGCAAGAACATAAGGAAACATAGAAACTACACGCTATAGCATACATTAAAACACAACTGTTTTTTTTCTACAACATTGCAGATGTCTTCACTTCAGACTCACTCAGTCATTCCTCACAAAGAGATGATCATCGTGTTAGGGTGGTGGTTTCTGTGGCAAATTTACATGTTTTTAAAGATGTAAGTTTTGCAATTAATTAAACTTATAAGTTTAACACTTATACTTACTTAATTAACACTTATAAGTGCTGAATTATTTTATGCTTTGCATATATTGTTTACAGGATGTGAAACAACAGGAATTCTTCATTGGTACTGTGAGATTAAATGGTAGAATGGACTGGACCATGCTGGATTCAGCTGTCAGCCAGGCTTTCAAGGTGACATGTTAATAAAATGAATTATTATACTAAACACAAAGTGCCTATTAGATTGTCTGTAATTATTAGATGAAATTGATATTTCATCCAGTCATGTTTTGAACGACACATTTATCAATTTTGTAGAAGCAGTTGATATTACATACTGGTGTAAACAATATGAACTTAGTGACTGATTTACTTTATTCACAGGTGTACATCACAAAGGTGGACCCCACCTCCAGTCTAGGGCTTTCCACTGACTCCATCTATAGTTATAGCATAGGCCATATCAAGAGGTTACTGGGAGGAGAAGCTCCAGAGACTCAGCCATCTCACTGCATGTCCCGAGGCCCAACCAGCATCACAGTGGCTCTGAAAGGTATGCCACAGTATCATAGACTGTACATATGAATGGATCTATCTAACCCGCTGCTTTCCAAAGAGGAAGGGAGCATGGGTGTGCTTCTGGCTTTGTTGAGTCCAGCTCCAAATCACTTTGTAAAAGCATTGCCCCTTTTCCGCACCTGTTGATGTCAGGCGCCTTATTTTGGTCTTGAAATATTCATATTAACCTACTCTACATGATCCTGGGTTTTTTATTTAGCTATTTTGTCCATTAATCAATTCCTATTCCTAAGATGGAACTCTGTTCCATAATATGGAACTCTGTTCCATAATATGGAACTCTGTTCCATATTTGCTCCTATAACTGCTAGCCTAGCTGAGCTTCATTCAACTGGAGCTGAATGCCTATGGGTGCTGTTACTGTCCCTTAGTTCACTACTTTATATACTACTACACTACTTTATATAGTCTAATATGGTGTAGTACTAGACACATTGATACATTTATTTTTGTTCTAGTTATTAGATTTGACTAATTATAATAAATAATACATACATAATCCATAGAGATTTCTTGTCAACTGTATTCTGTATAAATGTATTTCCTCCTGTAGACCCACACTCTGTGTAGCTTTTACTGCATTATCATGTGGGGTTCTAGTAATCAGCAATTTGTGTAGCGAGCTCCGCTTCACTTTTTCATGTTAGAATGCATGGAGCAAAGTGCTAGGATAGCTGGTAAAGCAGGGGCAGTTCCTAAAGAAATCTGATCTTCTCACAGCCAAATTCAAAGAGGGCCAGCAGCTTGACTCCCTTCAGACACATGGGCCCCAGAAATGGTGAGAAGGAACATTAGACGTCTGTTGCCTGGTGGGGGTGCGATCATTCCCTATACTTGATGCTTAGGTATTTTTAGAGCTAAATATTTCAGCACCATGTTGCTTATAGAGGCTTTGCGAGGTGAAATAAATATTTTCCAAGCATCTTCCAACAGATCCTTCTAGAACTCCTTCAACTAATAGTATCAACAGAATACCTGGCAACTAAATCATAATCTCTTGAATGCCACCGTGTACTTTGAACTATTTTCAACAAACAACAACTGCTGAAAATGTAAAAAAATGTTTTGTGTTTTAGGTTTGAAAGAGAAATGTGTGGACAGCTTGGTCTTTGAAACCCTTATTCCCAAACCCATGATGCAGCACTACATCAGTCTTGTTCTCAAACATCGGCGTCTCATTCTTGCTGGACCCAGTGGGACAGGTAAAACGTACCTGGCCTCTCGATTAGCTGAGTACCTGGTGGACCGCAGCGCTCGAGAGGTTACAGATGGCATTGTTGTAACTTTCAACATGCATCGTCAGTCGTGCAAGGTAAATTAGTCAATGCCTATGAAGCAATTTTGTAACCATAAAAGCAACACTTACCATTTTTCTTTTGTAAGGATCTACAGCTGTATCTGTCAAATCTGGCAAATGAGATTGATCGGGAAACTGGCACATCAGAAATACCCCTGGTACTGATTCTGGATGACATTCATGACACTGCCTCTCTCAGTGAACTTGTGAATGGTGCTCTTACCTGCAAATACCACAAATGGTCAGTTCAATGCAATGATTAAAATATAACAAAAAAAAATAAAAATTATAAAAATAATAACAAAAGAATGAACTAAAATAACCTGATTAACATCTGTTTTGTTTCCATGCAGTCCCTACATCATTGGAACTAGCAATCAGCCTGTCAAAATGACCGCAAACCATGGCCTGCATCTGAGTTTCAGGTGTCATTTTATTATCTAAGAGTTTGGTTACATATAAACAAATCAATATAAGTCTATGTAAACAACAGTGTCTAATTGCACTATGTGACCTTAAAAATGTCTGTGACCTTAAAGGAACAGGACATAGCCTGTGCACCTACTGGTTTAATGAGGTGCTGCAATCACAACTGATGTTGGCTTTACTGTGCCATAACCTTCATATTGAGGATATGAAGGTTTAAGCTGGATTTCAGCATTGAAACTGCCAACTCAAATGAGAGAGACTCATGTGAGGCTCATTCTGCTTTCTAATCAAATAATCATCTTGAGAACCAAAACAACTTGGCCACCCTACCAATGTTTTAGTAATTAAGAATAAATCTGCATTACAAGTACAAATTTGAGTTGAACATGTCCACCTTGTATCTGGGGACATATCTTACATACTATACCTTTAAATGGCAATACATAAAAGTCCATGATGTGAAACATAAAAGAACTAGAGCATATGATGCTTTTTTTTTTTTTTTTTTTTTAAACAAAACATTTCTTACGTTATAGGATGGTCACTTTTTCCAACAATGTGGAGCCTGCCAATGGCTTCTTGGTTCGCTATCTGCACAGAAAGATGATGGAGTCAGAAGATGAGAGGAATTTGACCAATGAAGACCTGATACGTGTTTTGGACTGGTTGCCCAAACTGTGGTATCATCTGCACACATTCCTGGAAAAGCACAGCACATCTGACTTTCTCATAGGTACAAATACTTCACCTCAATACCAAACAGGAACTGGATTTAAAGCATGCATATAAATGAGTGATGTTCTCCTCAGGTCCATGCTTTTTCCTGTCCTGTCCTGTCACTGTGGAGGAGTTCCGCTCGTGGTTCATTGACCTTTGGAACCATTCCATTATCCCATACCTACAAGAAGGGGCCAAGGATGGCTTTAAGGTGATTACATTTAATTATGGCTGGCTACTGCAGAATGCTAATCATCTTTCCATGCTAATGCACTGCTCTATTTTCACTGTCCTGGTATGTTGTGTATCCCCAGGTCCATGGTCAGAAGGCCGTTTGGGAGGATCCGGTGGAGTGGGTAAGAGGCACTCTACCTTGGCCTTCAGCCCAGCAAGACCAGGCAAAGCTGTTCCACTTGCCCCCGCCCAACATCAGCTCAAGCAGCCCGGGACAAGTCTGTGAGGAGAGGCCCCACAAGGAAACTCCACCCAGCTCCATGGAATCTGATCCACTGGTAAATGAGCAGGCAATTTCTCTTCTAAGATTTGAAACTGGGCAATAATAAGGATCTTTCTCTGTTTTGTAGATGGCAATGCTTTTAAAACTTCAAGAAGCTGCCAATTACATTGAATCCCCTGATAAAGAAGACCCACACTTGCCTAAACTTTGAAAAGAAGCTAATATTTAGCCCTGGAATAAGCGTTTAATGAATTGTGTGGTTCAGTGTAAATGTGGTTAAAGATTTACTGTTCCCAGGTGTTCCATATAACATGCCATTATTTCACAGTATAGTATTTATAATATAAAAGTATAGAAAAGTAGCGTATTTTTGACACATTCGCCTCAATTCCCTTAGACTGGTGCTAATCGATCACTATGACAGTGTCTCACTCAGCACTTAGATTCAAATCACTCAGGTGATTTGTGCTGTAGCACATACAGTACTAAACAGACCATCCTGTGAGTGTTGTTGTGCACAACAGAATATTGGTTTCTTTCCTTTTCTTTGGTTACTAACAATTAGTGACTCATTTTGTAGAGGAGCATGACAGCATGTACAATGCATATCAAATGCTAAGTCACATATGCAATTCACAATACAAGTCAAGCAGGTGATGAACTAACACAATGCCTTATGAACAAAGATGTGTCTCTTCAACTTCAGCAGACTATTCTGGTGCTTTCTCCGAGTCATCACTTCTAAACTCACTAGCAGTGACTCAACATCTCTTAACTTCCGCAGTTGTAACAACCTTTTATTCAAGCTGTCATACTCTTTTGCATAAAGCATCTTAACTTAAACTTCAGCTGCACACTTAAGCACTGGGGTTAGTTTTCTGTGTTTTACATGGTAAGGTATTGCTATAGTGAAACTATCAGGTAATTGGTTATTTTAGTATTAACGCCGTCACTCACTGATGTGATTAAATCACATCTTGTTTAACACTTTTTGTGTTAAAACACAAAGAATAAATGGTCTGGACTAAGTTGAAGACGTTAAAATGTTCACAAATCTGTATATAATTGAAAAACATTCCTACTTGTCCTTATACTGTAATTATTAAACAGTATATTCCATCTCCCCTGAATCCAAAATCCAAAAATAACAATATATATAGTTTATTTATACGGTATGTACAAACATATTGTTGCATTACCTGCAACGTTATACCAAATATTTATGTTATGTTTTTTTTTTCTATGAATGTATTGCATTTTACTCAGTATCAGACATTATTGTAGGTGCTTCAAAGTAGCCTTACCACGAGCCACACTTAAGGAACTCAGAGCAAATTTAAAACTACCTAATCTCAACTCATTCCCTCGCAACATTCAGTGTATTCAGCCATTTTGTTATTTATGTCACACATTATCACCATTTAGCTAATGTTCATATGGTGCATTTAATGTCTCAGTTGTGTCAACAGATTTCATTTAACTAGAAAAGCTTGGTGTCCTAGGTGTGAAGTAGATCTGGGATATTTTGGGATGTGTTGTAAACGTGCTCAAATGCATAATGTAGAGCCAGTGAAGTCCTGTGAGTGATCCTATGGTGGTAGACCCATACTAAATACTGATGCATTTATATTTAAATAACGTTTGGGACGAAAGCACAGATGCAAAGGAACTTTTTTGTAAAATACAAAGATAGAAATGAGTGATAAATTGTAAAAGAGGTCAGCGGTGTCCTCCATCACCCATGAGGTTTAAGTGCTTTTCCTTTGTACATATATTCTGTAAATGAATGTCACACAACTTTTTATAGTTTGACAAAAAAGTGTGTGTTCACACGTATGCTTTGCTATTGCACTGTGCTTAAACTGACCAATAACCATTGAGTCACTTTGTAGATGTACCAAGGTGTGACTGACTATTTGGTCAGTGCCAAACCAGACACACTAGGTATTGTTTTCTTAAATGTAAATAAAAGAAAAAAAAACTTCTAACTTGCAACCTGGTTTGCCGGTTTCCCAACTTAAGTTATGATCTCATCTAATTTACTGGTTGTTGTGCCTGTTGCTCTTATCAACTGTGATTTGTGTTGGCTTATAAGCATAAAAAGGACTATCCAGCAACTTTTAATGGTGCTGGTAATCAAAAGCAAATAAGTAAACAAGGCATGTTTCATCTGGTATATCTGACCACCCTGCATCCCAGGAGAATATTGTAGGAAGCCTTATAAAACTAAATGTTGGTTGTCACTGCATCGAAGACAGGGTTAAAAGTTTGTTTTGCCCAAAAAGCGATACAAACCTGTGGTAGAAAATGAATAGGCCAATACAGGTTGCTGTATAGTCACATTTTCTTCAAAGCTTGTTGTAGGCTCAAATGTTATGCAGTATCTTATTCCACTGACTTGCAAATGTTAAGGGTTTTTAAATGTTGTAAATGCATGTAAACTCGCTGTGTGATGAGACACATTATCTACTGTGGAAGAAGATCATCCTAGAAAATGTTTTCCTTTGTAATACTCAAATGTTTGATATTTCTTTTTCTAATGACTCCTTTATAAAATGTCATGTTATTTTGTACAGGGCATCATTGTAAAGACTGTAAATATGTCAGCATTGGATGGATGCAGCTACAATCATAGTGAAGAAAAGAGCATTAGGCCTATATGTAAGAGATTAGTCCAATGCAGGGATAAGTCATGCTTTTAAGGGTATCATCCATCTATCACTGTTTGCTGGAATCAATAAAATACATATTATATTTATTTTGTTGGATTGCTTTATAGTATGATAAATATGTGTTTTGATATGTAATCAGATTAATGCAATCATAAATTATAGGCTTCTAATGATATCTTCAGCAACATTTAATATTTTTCAGGGTCAAGCCAGTTCATAATGAAATTGACCAACAGTTTGTTTTTTTTGGTTTATTTTTTACAGTATATTTGTATATTGCTGTTTTTTTGGAGCTATGCCCCTTACCTTTTTTCCTGATGAAGGTTGTTGGTAGTCTAGCCTTCTTTGGGAGATTAGAAATGTAGGATAAAATGTTTTATGTTATTGGTTTTAAAAAGTTGGCTACATCATGCTGTTGTTTTAATCCCCACTGAAATCACAGACATGGTGGTCTCTGGTTCACTCAGTCCAGTGGCCTATCAGTTACAGAGGGCGGAGTCTGGCCCCTTGGCCCCATAAAAGCTTGCTACACCCCCAGGGAAGATGGCATTGGATTCACTTCACGGACTTTACCAGTTGGGAATTAGCTGCAACCTTCAACATGCCGAGCAAGCCTGCCCCAATCAAGAAGGCGGCGAAGAAAGAACCTGCCAAGAAGGAAGAGGAAAAGGCCCCGGAGCCCGCCCCAGAGCCGGAGCCGGCTCCCGCAGAGGCCGCTCCTGCCCCCGCTGAGGAGGCTGCTCCTGCCCCCGCCGAGGCCGAAGCTGCACCTGCCCCAGAGGCTGCACCCGCCGACGGTAATACACACGGCAGCGGTCTGTCGCTTGCATTTGTCCCTGGATGGCCCGTGGATGAAAAATGTAGTTAAATCATTTTTTTTCACTATGGATGGTTCTTTACTTAACGCAATCTTAAACTGAAGACACACGGTAAGGAAGTTGCGGGTGCGACGACCGAAGAGCGGTGTCCACGGCGATCAGACTCTTCCAAGTCGCTAGAAGGATGCAAAATATTATAATGCTAGGGCATATAAAACGCGCACAGTAATTACCATTAGCGTTACTAATACACACTTTCACCCAAAGCCATGCACGCCCACAGGCCAGAAGATCTATTCCAAAGATCTGTCTGTTCAGATTGGACCTATGCATCTAACAGTGCCCTTGCTGCTGAAGGAGTCTTTGAAGCTCCTCTGGTAGGAACTTGAGATGTTGAAATTATTATTTGCACATCCATTTTTGAAATATTTAACATAACTAACATTCGACCCAATTTCTATAGGCTAGAAGCCTAAATGGTTATCTTTTTAACAGCACCAATTTGCCTGACATATTCTAACCTTTAACACACTTTGCTGCCGCAGACGGATCCAGTGAAGACCCTGCTGATGGTATATATATATATATATATATATATATATATATATATATATATATATATATATATATATATATATATGTGAACAGCCTAAGAGTGGCTCAATCATAAGATAGCCTATTAGTTTACACAAATGTTGTTGATGCATTGTAAGACTAACTTCTCTTTGAACCCTTGATCTCTTTGGTCTTACTTCTAGCCTAATTGTGTTAATTGAGTTCCCTTTTGTGTTTAAAATGAGAAGAGAGTAATTACAATGAAAATTCTAACTGCACTTCTAACCTGTTGCCTGTTGTATGCTTTAATATCTGACATTAGCCCCTGCTCCTGAGGCAGAAGGATCTGCTGAAGCTCCAACTGAGGGTAAAAATAACAGCTTTATCAAGGTTTAATGTGACCTTTAAGTGTAAGGCTAGAGATATGACTATTACCACATACTTTCATTATCTTATAAGAGGTCAGTACTTTGTATAATCTCTGCACTGAACTAATAAGTGATGCCTGTATTTGCTCTAACATTTAACACTAGCTGCTGCCCCTGCTGCAGAGGAATCTGCTGAAGCACATCCTGAGGGTAAACTGCTCTTTTGTGTAGCTATAAGGTTAAGGCTAACAGATTGTTTTCTATGCATATTTTAGCTATTTTAGTTTAGTTTAGTATCTTGTTCATCACATAAATACAGTTGATGAAAGATGATGCAAGTTGCACAAATGTGATGCTTGTTTTCTAACCTTTAACATTAGCTGCTGCCCCTGCCACAGAGGAACCCGCTGAAGCTCCTGCTGAGGGTAAAAAGTTGTTATATGTAGTTATAGGCTTAAGGATAAACTTGTAAGGCTAAAAGTCTTCACAAATTAATTTTATTACTGTCTTTACAACTTCCTTCTGCACGTTTAAGATACATTTATGTATATGTATCTGATAAATGTAACTGCACAAATGTGATGCCTGTTTTCTAACCTTTAACATTAGCTGCTGCCCCTGCCGTAGAGGAACCCGCTGAAGCTCCTGCTGAGGGTAAAAAGCTGTTATATGTAGCTATAGGCTTAAGTAAACATTTGTAAGGCTAAAAGTCTTCACAAATTAATTTTAATAATGTCTTTGCAACTTCTTTCTGCACATTTAAGATACATTTAATATATGTATCAGATGACTTTGCTGCACAAATGTGATGCCTGTTTTCTAAACTTTAACATTAGCTCCTGCCCCTGCTGCAGAAGAACCCGCTGAAGCTCCTGCTGAGGGTAAAAAGCTGTTATATGTAGCTAAGTTATAAGGGTTAAGAGTAAATTTATAAAGCTAAAAGTCTTTACAACTTAATTTTAAAATTGTCTTTGCTTTCTGCACATTTAAGATACATGTAGATATACACATTTGATAAATGTAACATTATTATTTGACATCTATCTTAAATGAATGAACATTAACGAAGCTGCATAAATATGATGCCTGTTTTCTAACCTTTAACATTAGCTGCTGCTCCTGCTGCAGAGGAACCCGCTGAAGCTCCTGCTGAGGGTAAAAAGCTGTTATATGTAGCTATAGGCTTAACGATAAACTTGTAAGGCTAAAAGTCTTCACAACGTAATTTTAATATTTTCTGTGTAACCTCTTTCTGCACATGTAAGATACATTTAATATATGCATTTGATGACCTTGGCTGCACAGATCTCAAATGTGATGCCTGTTTTCTAACCTTTAACATTAGCTGCTGCCCCTGCTGCAGAAGAACCCGCTGAAGCTCCTGCTGAGGGTAAAAAGCTGTTATATGTAGTTGTAAGGTTTAAGAGTAAACTTGTAAGGCTAGAAGTCTTCACAACTTAATTTTAATAATGTCTTTGCAACCTCTTTCTGCACATTTAAGATACACTTAATATATGCATCTGATGAACTTAGCAGCATAAATGTGATGCCTGTTTTCTAACCTTTAACATTAGCTGCTGCCCCTGCTGCAGAGGAACCTGCTGAAGCTCCTGCTGAGGGTAAAAAGACTGTACATAGCTTTTAAGGTTAATCATTTCCCTGTAAGGCTAACAACTGAATAATAGTTCATAAGTTCACTATGTTAAATACAACATTATCTTTTGCATATAATATGTGACATTATTTGCTCAAGTCTGATGCCTGTTTTCTAACTTTTAATATTAGCTGCTGCCCCTGCTGCAGAGGGAACTGCTGAGGCGCCTGCTGAGGGTAATTAGACATAGTAATATGCTAATGAAACCTATTCATACTATATTTAAAGTAGCTCTGTCTGTCACTGTAGACTTTTTTTAACAAAGTACATAGGATTACAGTAATGATCCCTTTTCTAAAACTCTTATTGAAGATAACTGCACTAATACTTTTTAACGCTTATCTGTTCTAACCTCTAATCAGCTGCTGCTCCTGCTGCAGAAGGATCTCCCGAAGCTCCTGCCGATGGTAAAAATGACTCATGAGTACCATAAGATATACTTTATATTATCTTTATATGATACAGTATTATTCACAAGGTTCCCATGGTAAGGTTAAAAACAGCAACTAACCTCTTGACCTTTGCAAAGAGCTATAGCAATGTAATGCATAATCTTTTGAAAGATATCTCATCTGCTTAACTGCACTAATGATTAATATCTAACATTTAGCACCTGCTCCCGCTGCAGACGAAGCTGCTCCTGCTGCTGAGTCCGAGGCTCCTGCTGAGGGTAAAGCTAAAGCAAATATTAATAACTTCCTATTGTTTTGACCACTCAGAAACTATATTGATAAAATGGTACACTTTCTGAAGTACATATTCAAAATCAATTACATGCAACACGGATCTACTTTATATCTACTGCCAAATGGAAACAACAGAAATAATAATGATAGTTCTTTTTATCATTGAAGCTGCACCAGAGGAGCCCAAACCACCCACTCCCCCACCTCCTCCACCCAAAGGTACCCCTACTGTGTGTGTCCATCCTAACCTTTGGTGTAGACATTTTCTGCTCACATACTGTATTTTGTGTGCTTTGCAGAGCCCACCAGCGCTCCCCTTGACCTGTTTGTTGAGGACAAGAATGATACTTCTGTTACCATTATCTGGAGCCAGCCTGAGGTCGTTGGAACCACTGGTTTGGATGGATACACCATTGAAATTTGCAAAGATGGAAGTAAGTTCTGATGAACGCAACACATGGTCAATCTCTTTTGACACAATAAAAGTTATTATAATGATGATCCCAACAGTACATTATTTAATTTAAATTAATGGTTAAAGCATTTTTGTTAAAAGGATTATTACACCTCTAATTGATGCAATACCCAAATGCATCTTAAATGGACTGAGGGTCATGTAAATTTTTCCTTTAATATGGGTCAGCCATATCAGTTGCAGCTGTCCCTGAGGTGTCAGTCGTATAGTTATATCATGAGCTTCCTGACTTCTCCCTACAAGGAAAGGGGCATTTCAGGAGCTGCTGGGCTCTCACTGAGGTCCCGCTTTTAGACCCTGCAGCTAATATCAGCTGCACTTCAGTGTGCCTTTCATTTACATAGCTCTTCATATGTAAAAAAACAAAACAAAAAAACATTAAAAGCATTACATTTACAGACATAATAGTACATAACTTTGACAATGATGAGTATCTACATCTAAAAGGCCTATAATGTATTCAGTTGAGAGTTTCTGATTAAGTCATTTGTCAATTTCAGCTGAGGACTGGAAGGCGGTCAATGAGGACCTGCAGAAGTCCTGCCGTTATGTCATTAAGAACCAGACCACTGGGGACCGCCTGAAGATCCGCGTGGTGGCTGTGAATGAGGGTGGACGCAGCCCTCCTGTTGCCCTTCCTGAGGCCGTCCTGGTCAAGGAGGTCGCTGGTAAGACACACAGTCAATATAGAAAGGGCCATTGTATTATTATTATTATTATGTGTAGATGCTCTGACTTGTTTGATAAGCATTGTTCATTCTTCCTTTGAAATCTGTACTCCACAATTGCCAGTGTGACAGCACCATTAAATTCATACATCAAACACACACATCACACTTTCTTTAGTTGTCCATGGCATACCTGTTCTCTCGTGTGTAGAAATGGGGAATTTCTCTCGTGTTTCCCCCTTCAAACCAAGCGCATTGTTTATGGAGCCTGTTAAGTTGCTGGTTTTAGTGCTGCTGTACACCTCACAGTGATAATTATGTCCACTATATGAGAAGTGATTTGCGGTAGAATTAGGATTAGTCCAATCGGTCTTTAAAAAGAGGAACTGTCATTTTAACTGTCACAACTTATGGTTATGCGTAATGGAGAAAGGCACTGGGGAGGGACAGCAACCTGATCCCAGAGAACTGGCACTAGTTCAAAGGTTTTCACTGTGTTTGCTGTAATGGGCTGGTTTACACTAGAAAGAGTTTGTGCATTGTAACAGTCAAAGCTACCTCTAATGTAAATCATAACTTGCATGTGACTCTAATTAGCACTGGTTTCCTTTGGATGCTGAGTTTGGCATTGTAATGTGCCCCTGGCCAGAACTCATGCTGAGGATGTGTCAAGCTGCTTTCTCACTAGATCGATGGTGACAAGTGATCTGGGTGAAAGTAGGTGGGGGCCCTGGTGCAAGAGCGCATGGTAAATTCCAGTGTGGCCTATCTCTGCGTCAGGAGCAGGGGTGGCAGGGCAAAGTGCTGACTTCTCAGGTGTCACCCAAATCTCCTGACACTTCCAGAGATTCACTGTTTATTTTGAAACATGCCATAGACTTTACTGTTTGTTAAGCCGAGACTTAGTTGTGGATGGCAAACACAAACTAGAATGTTGCTGCATTGGTTATGCACAATGAGGATTTTACAATATCCAGCAATTAGGACAATAAAATTTCATTTTAAGTCTACAATATTTTTGCTCTTTGTGTCATTTCCAACTGGCATATGTACTTCTGTGTTCGGGTTGTATCTTTGATATTATAGACTTCTTGATGCAACTGAGGCAAGTATAGCTTTGAATCATGAAAGGTTAGGAGATATACTGCAGTACGGATGCTTTTTTTAGAATCCTGACAAATGTCACTCTGGTGGACTTAGCAGCTGGTGCTTCTCACCAAATTACTTTTACAAATGAGCGTGCAGGGACCGGGAGTGCCAGTCTCTCACATTTGCTAACTATGCATGTTATTCCTTTTCTTATGACCTTTAAGCTATTTTTATCTTTTAGTGCCTTATATACAATGTTATTGATGGTAATGGAATACTGTGTAGTGTGCAACTTGAAATAAACTCTGTTTCAGTTATGTTACTGAGCAACAAGACATGACATATCACATTCATTCATTAGCTGTTGGATTATTTCACCAGTGACAAAACATACATAAAAAAACAGAACAAAAAAGAAACATTTTTTTTTTTTAAGATATCAAAGTTCATAAAAAATACAGCTGTTACAATTTGTATTTTTATTTATTTATTGAGAGAACAATCCAGTCTCTAATCATTATGATGTGTTCTTTGTTCAGATCGTCCTAAAGTTCGTCTCCCCCGCTTCCTCAGGCAGAGATATGTCGCTCATGTGGGAGACAAGATCAATCTGACCATCCCATTCACAGTAATATATCATAATGCACTGAACAAACATTTGATGTTGTTTGATATCATACTCATATGTATTTTTATTTTTAGGGCAAGCCTAAACCTGTTGTGAGCTGGACAAAGAATGGCGAGGCCCTGGACACTAAGAGGGTGAATATTCGCAGCACAGACAGAGACAGCATCTTGTTCATCCGTGCAGCTGAGAGAGATGACTCCGGAGTCTATGAGATGAGCGTCAAAGTAGATGACTTTGAGGATAAAGCTTCATTGATCTTGCAGATTGTTGGTCAGTTTCAATTTATCTAATTCTTATTTGAGTGTTACGTTTTACGTAATGCATATTGAGTTTAAAACCTGTCCTACAGAGCTGCCAGGTCCTCCCGCCAGTGTTAAAATTGCTGATGTCTGGGGCTTCAATGTCGCTCTTGAATGGACTGCACCCAAAGATAATGGAAACACAGAAATCACAGGCTACACAATCCAGAAGGCTGACAAGAAGACCGGAGTAAGTAGCCATCCTCTCAGCGGATTAAATTATAATCTGTGAATATTAATATGATCCCTCAATAAGTGAGATGTTATAAATCGTTAGTAATAAACTCCCCTTCTCACTATGTGTGCAGGAATGGTTCACTGTGCTGGAGCATTACCACAGACTGAATGCCACCATCTCTGACCTCATCATGGGCAACACCTACAAGTTCAGAGTCTACTCTGAGAACAAATGTGGAACCAGTGAGGAAGCTACCATGACAAAAGAGGAGGCCACGATCCAGAAGACAGGTAGGGTAAATGTTAAATAATTCACAACATTATCTGCTACCTAGTATGTACAAGCATGGGTGAAAAGTGAAATGCACAACCAAAAGAGTTCATTTGTATTGCTTAATTTCTACTTCTTCTATTTCAATTTTTTTTATTGTTACTGCAGTTTAAAATGCTACATTACATGTATACATCTGAGTTACTTTTGCATTCAGGTATTGACTACAAACCACCTGAATACAAGGAGCACGACTTCTCTGAGGCCCCCAAGTTTACCACCAACCTGAGTGACAGAGCTACTACTGTTGGATATAGCACCAAGCTTCTCTGCTCTGTCAGAGGATCCCCAAAGGTATGAAACATCTAGATCTCTCACATCTTTTCAACCATATCCATTCAATATATAATAAGTTACCCATTTCAATGATCTGCTATCACTGTGCTTTAATATGTGAATGGTTTCAACCTAGTTTTTTGACTAAATACCTCTCAGACCCTCCATATTTTCTGTGTGTGTCCCCATGTGGCTGGATCAGAGTTATGCCACTGATGCTAAAGTGGTTAGCTTTGTTTGCAATGGCTGAGCAGCAGATTATATTGTGCTGTTGACAATGGCATTATACACACTGTAACTCCAGAAGTGTTGTTATGTTGCCCTCTGTCAGTAGCTGTCTACAATAATATTGAGGTGCTGAGTGAGGATATCAAACTAACACCATGTCCCCTTATGCTTGTGCATCACTGACATGCACCTCTCTGTTCTGAGTGGGAGCATACTGTATTGAGCTGCTAACAGCACTGGAGCATATGTGATACTTAAGGCTCCCATTAGACTGGCATCCTGTGCCTTTAAAAGTGGTTCAAGGTGTGAGCAAGGGTCATGGGGTCATGGGTCATTTGGTAGTAGGGTCAGATGAGTAAGATTCCCTTATGGGGCCTAGTTGGGCTTCCAAAACTGGGCTGCTGCAGCCTGTAGGGCATTGTCAAAAATAGAATTAGCTTTGGTTTTACTTAGAGATTTGCTTTCCATTTGTATTTATGCTTTCTGTGTGATGCTTTTTGTCTCCTACAGCCAAAGATCGAATGGATGAAGAACCAGATGATTATTGGAGATGACCCTAAATTCAGGCAGATCTGCGTCCAGGGCATCTGCTCTCTGGAGATCCGTAAACCTGGTAACTTTGACGGTGGCGTGTACAGTTGCAGAGCCAAGAACGACCACGGAGAGGCACTTGTCAGCTGCAAGCTGGAGGTCAAACGTAAGCCACAGCCTTATACTCTTAAATATGTATTTTGTAAATGCTGATTATCCAATAGATTGGATAAATTATCTTCTAGCTAGTAACAAATATTGTATTTTCTGTATACAGAGCCTGTTAATCCGGATGCAGAGAAGAAATAAACCAACACTCTCAAAGGTTAGAAGAAGCTATTTCAGTATCTTTGACACATGGTGCTTTTATGAGCTAAACGTTATGAATAAAGTCTAAGTAGTTATATGGGATACATTGCTTTTATACCTGGGGATGGCTAAGTGTGTCTCCATAGCCTCCTTTCCTTATAAGGATGTCACTAAACTTGGAGAGGGTGCCTGTGCCACTCACTCAGTCCAAGTGGTAGCAGCACCCATAAATTAAATATGCAATGCCTTGACAGGTTCTCAGTTTGGAGACTAAATCACATTTCCTTGACTCAGCAGCCAAAGCTAAGAACAGAGATTAGCGTTTTACAATTGGATTACCTCCTCAGGGAAAGATAAAAATGTGCTTTTAATTTCACCATTGTTTTGTAAGGATCTCCATAGGGTAAATATCTCAGCTAAATCTTCTTAACTCCGCACTTAAATTTAGCAAACAATGTTTACATGTGAGTGCAGTTCAAATGCCTAATTGCAGCTTATTGCAGTTGTCCCTTGTTGCTAACACCTGTTGTTGTTACTTGTTCATCCGTTGCTGGCTAATTTAGGAGCAGAGAGAGGCCATTACAGCGTGCGGTATGTCACATTTTTAGCTTAGGAAACCATTGTTTTTTGTGAAAACATTTCATTTACAATGTAATCTCTTGAATTGAACAGGAAGGTGCTGGATTCCTGGAAGAACGTGTATATACGGCTGGTGACCACACTACCAGATAGTTGTTGCCTGTGCTATCCAATGTTAGGAACAATTGTTGTCGCTTCATGACTTATACTTTATTATTCAAAGTCCATATCCATGTCCAAAATCAGCTTATTTTCCCAACAAGTCCATCTATGTACACAGTCATGTTCACATCATGAATCTACAGTTCCTCATAGGAGAATTCTATGTAACATCAATGTTTATAACAATAAATAATTTTATTTCTGGTCGTAATGTTTATGTCATTTACAATGTCATTGTAAATATAAATGCTCAAAGGCTACTCTGGTGTGCAATATGTTTGCAGTATTTTGTCATTATACATCATATTAAAATATTTAGTAAAAACTGTTAAAAAGTGTATTACTAGCACTGACAGTAAAGCTCACTTTATATGTTAATTTGCATTGTTTGGGTCCTATTAGGAGTCTGAGCTTATCTCATGCATGCAAAATGTATTATGTCTCATTGAATTAACATCTATCCAGCTGGCTAAAGCTTCTTTAAATGAACTCACTTTCGCTGAATCACTTTCAACTCAAGTTTCGGCCAGTTGTTATAAATCTGAAATCCTATTGGCAGAAAACCAATGTTCACCGAGAGACTGAAACTAGCTGTGTCCCCTGACTGAAGCGCTCCCCTGTGAACACAACAGGTATGTCAGGACTTTCATCATAATAATACCAGCTCAGAGCCCTGAACGTGTAAGTATTTGGTCCCAGAGTTACAGACATAGTGATATGGGGCCAACTGCCAGAATGGCCGGTGGGTGCAGCAGCAGCGTGGGGTACTGCTCTGCATATTTTGGGATCTGCAAGGATCACTTTTCAGTTAACAAGAATGTCTTATGAAAAAGAAAATCAACTCATTCAAAAGAAGAACAGAGGATAGTTGTGGAAAATTATGACACTGAGGACTGAGTAATACAATGTATATTTTTCGTGTTGTGCACATGTGACCTAAATTTACTGCTTCTAAAACTTTGACAGTATCTTTGAATGGAGTGCCCTCTAGTGTCCTTAGATGGTACTTCAAGTAATGCTTCAATGTAGTTTCATGCTTTTTGTATGAAATAAATACACATATTGTGGCAAGGGCGGGGTCTTATCTATTGAGACAATCAGAATATGTCCCTTAAATATTTTAACCTATTCAAATATGTCACATATGTCACATCACATAGATGTAGAGGCTTATCAAGCTTATCACACATTTATGTATTTAATTTTTAGAACAGGAGACTTAAAATAAAACCAGTGCTGACACACATAATGATTTGGTACACCTTTCTCACTCCTCTCCCACAGGGAATGAAAAACAGTACCCTATACCCTATACCTATACCATGTACCCTATACCCTACCCAAAACAATAATTTCATATCTGATGTTATATTTGACATCATGGGGTCCAGGTTCATAGTTCATAGACACAATGCAAATGGATTCACTGAATGCATCTTTTGTGAGTCATAGTGGTGCAGTTTAATTGCTGGAAATGCACTGACCTCTGGCTAGTCTCTGCTACAAGAGAAGCTAAAGGCTGGAGGATGTTATGTCCTTAAAAAGGTGCTGGCACAGCTCCCAGAGTGTTTAATAAGTGTAATGGTGAGTTTGGCACCAGCAAAAATGACCTGTCATTGTTTTCACCAACAACGTCTGCTTGAGTCACCTGCAGAGGCACAGGCATAGACAAAAATTACAAAACTAATAATTAATATTACTCTCCATTAAAATGATGACATGACAATATAGTTTTAATATAGGCCCCTATATATTTGAATTATAGCAAGTAGAGTTCTGTGAATGCCTATAGATGTCTTGCATACCACTGCTCTGACAAGACATAATATGCTTAAGTGCATATTCATTTATTAATTAACATAATTGGATATAACTATTGATAGAAATACATGCTTTATTTAATTAGTCAATATCATTTCTCTACTCTTAACGTTACTTTCTTTGCTTCAACCCTCTAAGCCTTACTGTAATCTAAATTATTCACTGTTTCCAACTACTTAGTCTGAACCTCTTCCTCGTGAAGCTACTGGCCATAGAAAAAATAAAAGGACACCACTTCGATGAGCTCTCTGACAGCTTGTGTACTGCAGCAAAAGCTATCCAGCCAAGACGAGTGACCCACTCCTCAATCCCCCGCTACGCCTTTGCTCCACCACGACCCACCTCACTGGATCCTGTGAGCTGTATCTGTGTTTCTCAAAATCTCTCTACCCTTTTCAGCGCGTATTATCGATCCCAGATTTCCCTTTAGCTTCTTTACCCCGCCTTTAAATGTTTCAGCTCAGCACTCTCTATGACTGCATGGGCCGGCAGGAAAAGTGATGGAGCAGAGAAACCTCGGAGGCGGGAGGAGAGTGCGCCAGAGCACCCCCACACTCTGCCCAATTGATGACAACAGGAGATTTTATTGAGTGGCCTGTCAGCCAATGAGCGAGCAGCGCCGGGAAATACAGCAGTGGACACCGCACCGCATTTGGGACTCGCGTTTGCTCCCCGTTTCTTTAGAATTTTGCAGTAAAACACAGAGCTGCGAAAAGTTACATTTGTGAGCTTATTTAAAAGGGAAACGCCCCCTAGCAAAGGAGGATTTACCAGTTTCAGCAATGTCGTTTAAACGTGGAATATGAATCCAAGTAGATTTTAAGATTTTACCACTTTAACAAATCCATTGTAGGGAAGCAGCTGTGGTTAAGGTAAGCAGCAATTTACGCATTGCATCATTAGTTAATTTTGGTAATTCGTTGCTTTTTCACTCATGCTTTTTCCCAAATTAAACTTAGCATTTCTAGATTTTGATCATTAGAAATTGATATTTGCTTTAAAAGCCATCTTGATGCTTCTAGAGGTGAATGCCAATTTGCCAATTGAACTTCCCATGCGGTATGTCCCACTGCTAAGTGCTGCAGTTCATTACGCAAATTGCTAAGAGGGTTTTGTGCGTAACACACTATAAAATAGTAAGATATTGTGCTTTTCAGATGTATTTTATGTATTTTTGTTCGTTAGGCTAATGTTTTCATTGCTTTTTCCTTTTCCCTACCGAGATGGTCAGTTTTATGGGATACACTAAAACCTATGGGTTAAAAGTGCTGAGTTTGCAAAAGTGGGTCCTATAGAAACAGCTGCAGACTCGGAGCACGTTCTACCCAATAGATTCTTCGTTCAGTGTTCATACATTATAAACTTGTGCATTTTATTGATTTCTGTAAGGGAATACGAAATATGTGATTTCCTCTCAGAATATAAAATACGCTTTATTGGCAATGAGTTTTAACCACTAACATTTATGAATTAATAACATGGTAGCCTCTTTGTCGAACTGCTTTTGTGGTTGACTGTGTGACGCACATATGTGATGCATCAGTTGTAAAGTCCCACGGGCCTTTAGCAGTATGTGCCCTGCCTGGGCTATACCTGAATGTGCGTGAGCGTGTGCGTGCACTGCGTGTTGTGCACGTCATGACAGGACTATCCCAAATGCACTGTCAAACCCTCGTCTATTTTATGGTTAAGCAAGTTCAAGGCATAAAGGTCTTTTATAGCTTGCTTCTTATTCTAAAAGGCTACAGTGAACTAAATATTTTGGCTTAGTTTGAATAACAAAAACGTTGACAGTAATGATAATAATCAGTAATGATTGTAACTCTAAATGGAAACCTCTAAAGATTACCAGTGGTCTTATTGACAGTGAGCTCAGCCATTCAAGAGCCCATGAATTTTACATGATCTTTATCAGAATTGTGGAACAACTTCATTACCTTTTCCTGAGTTGTATTTCTGATTTCAGCATTTTCCAGTCTCCACATTAGTTACTCCCTGGCGGACATGCCTGGAGCTCTGCAGGTTGATGGCTCATGAAATAGTCCTTAGAACTACATCCTATAATCCTGATGCACTTCTCTTTTCTGACACTCATTTAGTGGAGATTAGGTGCTTTGTGTATCAAGTGCAGCCATAGGAATAGAGTTTTTATAGAACTACCAGTTAGTTTACCAGCAATGAGTGTTCTGAATGTTGTTTGAGGCCAAGCGTGTACATTATTTGATGGATTTTCCCTGGACTTTCAGCAGACTGGTGGTTCTGTTCCACTCTAAATCTATCCTCTAGTGTGAGAGATTTGCTGAACTGTTGTCTTCTTTTGCTGCACTGCGCGTTTCACAGAAATGCCATCAGCACAAGCAGTTTCAGCCTGAGGGAGAGATGGTCTGAATAAATAGGCTTTCTCCTAGATGTACCCAACAGTTACTGCTTTGAAGGAACACTCGGTAAAATGTACTGTGTTCCATAAAGCCATGTATTATGACAACTCATCAGTATATTTGTGTTATTATGGCTCTATAGCATCATCAGTCACACAAGCAAGAGTCTCCATTATACTGAATAATACCAATTGCTTTTTCTATATGTCTCTTTGCTCAACACTGCCACCTAATGGCGATTATTTCGACTTACATTATATGTTGAAGTATGATAGATTCCTCTTTGAATCATATTTTAGATGAAAATATTTACAAATGCATTTTAATATTTCTATTACTTCCTATTAGCTTCCCATGAACTGAATTTTGATGCATCTGATGAAATCTACCACTCTTACACATTAAGTTCTTTGTTGTTTTTAGCTGTTTGAAATGTCAGTGTCAAGCTAGCCCATTGAGTCAAAACAATCATTCTGACACATTCATACAAAGTGCCCAAGAACACAAATAAAATAACAACAACAACAACAGGGGCAACAGTGACTCAGTGAGCGCTCATCCACCAACCAGATAGTTACTCGTTCAGTCTCCTCTTTGGACCAGCTCGATGTCGTTGTTGTGTCTGTCATCATCAAGACACTTTGCTCGTCTTGCCTCTCGTGTCAATGTACACTGTTGTATTTGTGAGTGCAAATCCAGGAATATAGATATACTTTAGTCCATAGCTAATACATGTGTGTCATGTCTCAAAAACAAAAAAGTGAGTTAACTATAGTCCCATTAAGTGTGATTAGATTTAATAAAAATATGCATCTTATTCCTTTGACCTGGGACTTCACCAGTAGCAGTGTGTGGAGGTTTGCTGACAAAGCACTTTCTTAATTAATGCCAGTGAGTCATCAGTCTTCTTGTTTGAATACTCTCTCTTCTGAGAAGAGGCTTGAAACTGATGTTGATGTAATAATATGTTTTTGAGGCCAGTTTAGAATAAATGTGGTTTCTTTACTC